TTAGTTAGGCAGAGTCAGCTGTAACCATGTCCACAACACCTTTGGTGTGTGACACTGGATAGAAGAAGATCCTGCAAGCATGGTTAGTAAACCAGCAGACATAAGAGGGAATGCCCAAAAGGGCAATACATTGCACCTGGATACCATCAAGGCTTTGGGCATGGAAGACCATGCTCACATGGAGTCTGATGATGGGGATCTTGAGTCTAGTGAGGGAGAGAATGAAAACATTGTCCATGAGGTCAAAATCAAGTCAAACAATGCACCTGATCACTCAGGATCAATGGTAGATCATTCCCCACAGTGCTTGGAGGGTAACATGCCAGGAAATGGCCAAAGTTCTAAAAAAGCACTTGAAATGGCCTCAAAACCATCAGTAAAGTGAGCTAGGATGATGCCAACACCTACAATGCATAAAGCGACACCCCTGCAGCCCTATCCAACTCCAATTCCACCTTGAGAGACCTGCAGGTCCACCAGAACATAGAAAGCACCACCTAGAGATGATGATTATTGTTTTTTCATCAATTCCTATGACAGGGCAACCTTACCTAGTCAACAGGTTGAGGTGATGGAGGGTTCAGGTGCAGAGAGTGAGGTTGGAAGCCCCATTGATGAGGCCACTCAAGAGTGAGAGCATGCATGTGGCAACAGTGAGGTTGAGGTGGCTGAGGCAAATGAGGAAGTGGCTTACAAAGCAACCACAACACATGACAATGAACCTCACTCATTCAACAATGCAATGTGACACACTGATGCAGATCAGTGGTATGCTGCAATGATTGATGAATTACAGACCCTTAAGTCCATCAGACTGTAGGAGGAGGTCACTCTGACTCCTGGCCATAAGCTGATTGACTCAAAATGGGTCTACAAGATCAAGTGAGGGCCAACTGGTGCAATTGAGAGGTACAAGGCTTGTTTGGTAGCCAAAGGTTTTACACAGGTACATGGGATCAACTACACCAAGATGTTTGTGCCCATCACCAAGTTTGCAACCATCTGCATACTCTTGGTGCTTGCCACTAAGTATAATCTCAAAATTCATCAGACAGATGTTAAATCCACATTCCTAAATGGACTATTAGATGAAGAAATATACCTTTGTCCCCCTCTGGGCTTTCCTCCTGACAGTGACAAAGTCTGGCAGCTGCTATGAGTGCTCTATGGCCTTAAACAGGCCCCCAAGTCATGGTACTCTTATCTTCAAACTGTTTTCAAATCCCTGGCTTTCACTTGAAGCCAGGCCAACCATAGCCTCTTCTTTAAAGTCAAGAATGGCATACTAATTATTGTTGCCATCTATGTAGATGACAAGTTAATACTCTCAAAGTGCCACATGACTATTGAGCATGTCAAGGCTCAGCTCTCACAGGAGTATGAGATGAAAGATTTGGGAAAGGCACATTGGAACTTGGGAATGGAGATACTTTGCAACCATGATAAAGGTATCATACAGCTCTCACAGAAGAGATATGTTGAGAGTATTCTTGAGTGCTTTGGGATGAGTGAGGGTCAAACTGTCATGACCCCCATCAAGCCCAACATCAAGTCATACCAGGGTGCTCTTGGAGCCCTTATGTATGCGATGCTAGCAACAAGGCCTAACCTTGCCTTTACTGTAGGCATGTTGAGCCATCATGCTGCATACCCTGGGCATGAACACACTACTCATCAGTAAATCACTTTTGCTGGCCAGAGCTGTCCAGCACTGGACAGATTCCCTAGGACTTCCAGCTCACAAAGTGGTCTACTGATGCTGTGCTAAAGTGCATCTTTCACTATTTGCAACACACCCCTGATGTCCATCTTACCTATAAGTGAGATGCAAATGCACACACAATTGGGTATGTAGATGCAGATTGGGCAGTGGATATCAATGACTGCCACTCTGTTACTGGCTATACTTTCATCCTTTCAGGTGGAGCTGTTAGCTGGTCATTGAAAAAGCAATCATCTGTTGCTCTGTCAAGTACAGAAGCTGAGTACATGGCTGCATGCACTGCCACAAAGGAAGCTATCTAGATTTGTACCCTAGTCCTCAAACTTGAGACTGTGTCATCACACAAACCCACTCCCCCCCTCATCAACAATCAATCTGCTATCTCACTAGCTTGAAATGTGATGTTCCACAACTGCACAAAACATATTGCAATTCATCATCACTTCATACAAGAGAAGGTGGATTCTGGAGAAGTAGTCATTGACTATGTGTCTACCAATGACCAGGTGGCTGACATACTGACTAAGGGCTTATCTAGGGAGAAGCACATTCATTTCTCTGAAGCTATGGGTGTTATTTTCTTTTAATTCCTTCCTGACTATACTTGTTGAAGGGGCATGTTGGAGTTTATCACCTTTAGTTGTGGTTCACTGAGCACAGCATTACATAATCCAAAAGCGGACACTTAGCAGTTTATTTTTCCTTACTGCACCTCAGCTTCAACCAACTTGAAGTCTGAGTATATTCCTTTCTATAGACTTGACAATCCTGCAGCTCATCATCCTCCAAAATTCCTCTGTGTTATCTGTGCTGCTGATGAGATGGGTGGTGTGGGGAGTACTATTGTGGGGAATGTGGCAAAGAACTCTTTGCCCATGTTTTCTGGGGAGTTTTCTCTAGTCAGAGGAATTCCATGTATTGACATGTACTCATGAGGGGATGAGGACTGGTAGTCTGGCATTTGCTGTCCTGATGAGAATGAGTAGTTGCTTGTGTATGGGGTGCCTATTGGGGACTGCTGCTGTGATATCCAGTGTGCACATGGACATGAAATGGCCCTGTGCATTGCATGGTTGGCTTCTGCAAGGCAGGTTGGCAGTAGTATGGAGTGTGCTCCTGTGGTTTGCTACTTAGCTTCTGCTTTTTTATCCTCCTTTGCACATGTATGCCATGTGGTTGCCTTGTGTATGTCTTGTAGTGTCAGTATGGTGTCTGTGCAGGATTTCAGTACAGCAGTACTTTTTGAAGGATGCTGTAGGTATCCTCAGTAGTGCAACAAGCTACTGATGTATTAGACCAACCTGTAGGTATCTACAGGATATCAGTAAGTATAATACTGGTAGTGAAAGTGAGCTTACCCTCAGTAGTGCAACAAGCTACTGAGGGAACAGTGAATAAACTACTGTAAAATGTGCGCTCTAAGGTGATTATGTAAGCACCCAAACATCGCACCAAAGTGAGCAGAACACAGGGGAGAATATATCTCCAACACACCCCCATAAGCTCCACTGTGTGAACAAGTAGAATAGCAGAAAACAGAACTCAAAAGAATGTGTACCAAATACTCCAATAAAACGAGTTTAATTCGTGTATTGAGCTTCGAGTCCGTAGTGTGAAGTGCGCGTCGTTCCCGTTTTGGTAATACGCCACTCGTGCGCGCGTCGTGACTTTGCCACATCGCTGTGCGAGCGTTGTACGACGTTCGTGAGGGCCGTCGATGGCAAGCATCGATATAGGGCGCACCCCCTGCCGTAGGTAGGCGCTAGCAACGTCCAGAGGAGTCTTGAGAGGTCGCGAGGGCCTCCATAAGGTAACTCGAGTGGTTTCGAAGGTAATACCAGTTGTATGGTGTGCGTTTCCATTCGTGCGAGCTTCGCTGACGCTTCGTAGATCTACTTTGATCCTGCCGCATCGACGTCGAGCCCTGTATGGTATACGGATATGCGCGATTAGGTCCGGAGGGGGTTCGGGTGGTGCAGGTAAGTGGTTCGGCCGTTCTACCTCTCGTTTTCGAACGTTCTGACTTCGGATGTCAGCCAGCAGCTTCTTTGTTGCTCCGTTCGAGCAGACGGCATTGCTGCTTGTTGTGCCGTCCTTCCCGCTACTGTAGCGCTCGTCGTCGGCTTCCTGTGGCCGAAAAAACTACATTTGGTGAGCCATCTCGTATCTCGGCCGTTCGAACGCTGATCGCTCTTATCTTCAGCTTCGTCGACGCTCTCCCACCATCTCGACTATCCTCCCAGTGGGAGGTACCCCCGCCGTGCTCGCCTAGACCCCCGGTCTCATCAATTGAGACATTCCATGTGCACTGACCTTTGCAGGTCTCTTGTCGCACTGCAGGCGCGCGATCTCGTTCGGGGTGGGGTTGCTCGGCCTCTTGCAGATCTTTGAGGCATTTTGGCTCGTTAGTGAGCGCTGCCTGATCCGAAAGGGTCGTTTGGGCTTCGTGAGGATGCGGTATGGTAATTTCTCCATTGCTGACCGTTCGCGCTCGCGCTAACTTCCTTTCTGTGTTCGAAGTACCAAAGACTTCGTCAGATTGTCCAATGAATGGGTTTGGAGCTGCGACGTGAATGCATGGAGGGTCAGGTACGTCGGCGATCAGACCGCTGCACGTTTGGATGTGCTGATCGTGATTGACAGGCGTCTGCGAAGTAGTTTTGATGGCATGAGTGTTCTCGAGATTAGTAGAATTGATTGCGAGATCGAAAGTCTTGCTGCCGGGTTTGAGTAGATGTAAATCCCTTGTCACGTTGGCAACGACGAGTTGACAGCGCGTGCCTGTAGCGCTGGTCTCGTCTGTACGGCCACTTGACGTCTTAGGGCTTGCATCTCGTTCATCCATTGAGCCGCTGCCTGCTTCGCATGGCACTACCTCCAGCTCCAGCTCCGAGTGCCCATTTGGGGCGTGTTCGACCTCTGCTGTAGGTATGTCGATGCTTGACGCTTCGACTTGTCTGCACTGACTGGGCGTGACTTCTACAGTCTCTAGTGACAGCTCTGCGCTGTCCTTTTTGTTGTCATGAGTAGCCGACTGGCCGAGAAGGCTGCCGCTGGTTTGTTCAGCGTTTGTCCTTAGGTCAATGCCACTTTTGTCACCAAGATGAAGCAGTGCATCCAGTTCCTTGTAGTCCGTGTGTTACATTCAATGCTGTCTAGTTATGCTCTCTCGTCCATGTTCCCTTCGTGCTGACTCATCCTCCTGTGGCTGTACTCCTCGCCTCTCCCGTCTCCCCTACTACACCGGTTCTGCCTCTCCAGACTCGCCCTAGTTCCAGGCAACGAAGCGGAACACATCATCATTTATGTGGTTAGATCGGACAAACTGGGCTTCCTGGCTAACCAGCGACGAACCAATGTCATGCTCACCCCCTGCAAAAAAACCATGATTATATGCACGAGCCAAGCATTCATTTGGGGTCCAGCAGCATCTACTCTTATTGGAGAACTTGCAACCGCCCTTGGACCACAAGCGTGGGTACATGGAAACCTTCAACTTATCGTGCCTCCCCTGGATGTAGTACCGCATCGCCCCAACGCTCACTTAACTGCGCACCGCTTCCCTGCTTTCACAAGCATTACAGACATTGCAGATACATGACTGCGGGGCGGTCACCCACCCCCTAGCTCTCTGACATCACCTTCCTATCGACCGCACGGACGAGTATGTGGGGATGCTCCACTCATCGCACTGCCCCGGGACTCCAACACTTACTCGACTGCACACCACCTCCCCACGCTCACAGAAGTTGCAGACAAACGAACCCAGGGCAGTCATACACCGGCTAGTTCTCCGATATCACCTCACAATTGACCACAAGCGTGGGTAAATGTGGATGCTCAACTCATCACGCCGCTGGGACAGGAGATAGTACCGCATCGCTCCAACACTCGCTTAACTGCACACTGCCTTCCTGTGTTCACAACCGCTGCAGGTACACAAACCCAAGGCGGTCACATACCCGCTGGTTCTTCGACATCACCTTCACAATCACTCCTCACCATGTTGATCGCGCCAACGAAACACTTCTGGAGTCCATCCTACGTCAAACAAGGACCATGTATTAAACACGCGCGGCGGGAAATAGGGGACCATCGTGGTCCCTACGTCAGCTAGTCAAGTACCACGACAGCGCGGTTCAACATAATATTCAACGGAAAATTTTGCTGCTCCTGGACTTCAGTAGGCATGTCGGGTAGTAAGGTTGGCTCATTTGAGCTCGTTCTCGATGGGGTCTAGTTACTTGAAGCCCGTTATCCACTGACCTTCGAGATGCTCTGCACGATGTCGATAGAATTTCCAGGTGTGTTGCGATCTGACGTCGGCCAGAGTCGATGCGCACGGCAAACGGCAAACCCTTGTGGTTAAAACAATTCCTGTAATGAAATCCCTATGCCATCGACCACATTGTAGTTTACACTTTCACCTTGTGGTTCAGATGAGGGTTTCATTTGCGCAGCAGCAATTACAGCATATGCCGTTCCACAGAACTGCTTCGCGTTGTCGAAGGCAGAATGGCAGACTGCTCAGCAGAGTTAGATAGATGGCGTCTGTTCCGAAGCTTGCCCCGAACCTAGTGCAAGTGACAGTACCTTTTTCTCCCCGGTTGAGTACCATCCGGCGGGACCCATAAGTGAGAGCAATGGCGGAAAACATCACGTTGCCCCTACGAAGTGCCGGGGTGTACTCACACGCAGTAGATGGAAAAGCCATTGTCCTCACTCACGACTACCCACGTTCACGCCACTCGACGACGTGCTGTTACCCCTTCACCGCAGGACTTTCGCTGCGGTGACAGACACTAAGCTCGGGCATCACTTGGCTTCTGAGCTCACCGTTGCCATCTAAGAGAAGCGGGACATCAACAACTAACACCTTCAGTCCAGCAATACGGATGGGCAGTTGAAAGTCATCAGGGAAGATGCAGCCGCAGAATCTACCGCCCTCGCGTGCGAATATCTGCCAATGTGACACTCCACCGTCGGGCACGTCGGATTCAGGGGGGTTATCACGCCGTCCACCATTAACGTTCACTTCAATTCCCGCAACAGAGGCCTGCTACACCTAACCGCAGCACTTGACACGGCCGATACGTGTCCTCGGTATGAAATTGCTCATTCGAGAGGAAGGGAAGCCGCGAGATGCGTACAAGCCTGTCAGACCGTGGGATAGGCCAGATGACGACCGCATGGCTAGACGACTAGAGCATTCTATAGCGCGCACGACCGGCGAACTCACCCTCATCACAGCAATCCATCGTGACGTGCGATCAGCGATCATACGAATCCTCGCATATTTGGGATGATTAGATGGGATTGTGTGGAAGAGAGAGGTGAGTTCAGGGTAATCCGGATTCCACGATGAAGCCGGGCCCTGCAGTTCTATCGCGCCCAACGAGTGCTTCCGACTCCAGGTACGTCTTGAGGCTACCCTATTATATTATTGTCAATTTAGGAAACAACCTGTGTGTGTTCGATAAAAGTCAGGTCGATTTTTGGAGCTGTAAACAACCAGATGAGAGAACCAGAAGCCCTCCATAAGACTATAGCTGATCCTTACCAGTATGTCTTCGCATGAGTTCCTGAGCCATGATCTAATCTCTTTCTTGCTACTTTTGTGGCCCTTGCCGTGCTGCTGTAGACGTGTTGGGAAAAATGGATTGTCCGTGAGTTTGAAGTGAGGACGCCGGGACGGTAACTGACAGTACCGGGTTGCCGTTGCATGCGGGTCCTTCTAGGTTTGTCCACAGCGCTATCGACATCGAGGCTTTGACGGGATTAATGCACGCTTACCACGTTATGACTCCACAGGCACTGGGAGATGCATAGCCCAGCGGAACGACAATTGTTCTAAAATGATCATCTGAACGTGTATGTGATTCGATACCGTGAGTCGTGACCAAGACATCACATTGGATCTGGTAAGTGCAGCCCTCTATGTCCACCATTAGGCTTCTGCATCGCCCATAGTTGTCTTGCATTTGACGTTGATGGAGTTATGGAAGTATACGCGTTCTGATCTCACATGGGCGGCGATCATCGAGCTAAGGTCATTTACTGGTTCGTCCCATATCGAGCTCCTAATTTACCCCAGTTCTGTAAACCGGCATCGGGAAACGTGAGCACCGGTGCAGTTTTCAGTTTCTGAAACTCTTATCTGAGTCGCTGGTCAGGGCATGATGGACAGGATTCATGGAAGTTGGGGAAAAACAGTGTCATGGCCATACATGCCATTGGCACTCATCGGTTGTCTTCAAAGTCCAGAGCCTTGAAATGGCAATCTCGTTCAAGATATAAAGCACGAATGACCTGGCACTCAGACTCATAACCTACAAACACAGATCATCGAACAACAGCTATGGCATCAGAACGCGTCATCCCCCGAGGCCCCCCTCTTTCTGTCTGGGCATCGTCACGCCTTAATTCTCTCCTGCGAAGCGAGACGACGGACAGGTTCAACAGGATTTTTGACGTTACTTTCGCCCAAGACCTCGAAGTCGTCCTCAATGGGAAGACTCTCACTCGCGACGAGTACAAGAAGGTGTTACTCGGGCAGAGTGGGGCGGGATCCTCGGCAATCAAAGATGTGCAGATTGAGGGAGAGACGGTAGTCAACCCAATCCCTCCTGAAGATCGATTGGTAGGTCGGACCCTGGGACCTCTTCGTACCGCAACTAAACAACGTATACCATAGGGTGGCTTCGTTGGCATGTTCTACACAATTACGAGCACCTCCAAACGTTTCTTTGTGTTCGGCGTACCTGCGAGGCAGAAGGACGTCTCTAGTGTTAACCTGACGTATGTCCCAACGTGACCTGTGTTCGATGTTACTTAAAGATTCTGATCGTTGTTACAGCGTGAAGTCGACCGCGGACACCCGCCTTCGTTACCTCGACCCACGGAGGATCGCTGAAGTCAACCAGATTCTCCAGCCCAGGACCTTTATCGTCTCATTCCCTAGGTCGGTTGTGCCCGCGAACGAGACTTCTGGCTCTGGAAAGGTAGAGCTAGGACCTGTCAATATTATGCAGGTGGAGGAGGAACTCAGTGTTTTGGGGAATAAATTCAGCACTGCGTCAGTCCCTGAGGCCGACATTGACGAGGAATGAAGTCTTTGCTTCCGCCAATATGTAGACGGTCACGCAGAAAGTGATGGGACGGAATGCGTGACCACTGCATGCCGAGCTTCATGTATAATTGAATCCTGAATTTGATTTGTGTATCTGCTATGTCGCCTGAAGTTACATCTGCACGAGTACTCGGCCCAGCACCGTCAGATATTATTCTGCTCAGTGCAGGGCGCTAATAAGCACGACATGAAGGTTCGAGGATGGCTTTTTTCGTTCACATTCGGCGCACGATACAATTGGCCAAGTAAAAGGGACTTGGTTAGATGGACCAGACTAAGTCGATGGGGCTTTCGAGACTCAAAAGCCTCATCAACTGTGGAATTTAGCTTGGTTCATCCAACGGCACAAGTCACAACGCAGTCAGTCCCAAAACGGCATGAAAACTGTGGGCGATTCGGGTCGTTTTCGACGCGGTCGCCTTTGTCGCAAACTTTGGCCACAACTCAAGAATAGGGGAATTCACAGCGCGTTTTCGTGCGTCGTTTTCGATGCCGTTTTCGATTTGTCTTCGTTGACCAGGTAAGGCCGAAAACGGCGGTTTGCTTTGATATCCCCCGTTTTGGCTTCGTTTTGGCTGTTTCCGAGGTTTGAATATGTGTAGATAAGCATGTTGATTATCTTGAACGAGTCATCAGAAACCATATGCCTCACACTACTGACAGGCAGAAAGCTGCAGAAGTCCTTCTTGTGTCTATCTGGCTACTCTACTTGCTGAATCTCACTCATACCTTGATCCCACAACCTATTTTGACTCCAATTCCAGTGGTTCTGAGAGCACAAGCTCTGATTGATCTGATGAACACCTGCATAGTACCTCCTCAGCCAGTGATGCTGGGTTGACTGCGCCCTTCAGCTTAATACTACAAGGCATAGATACAGGAAAAGTCTACTAAAAGCACATGGATGTGTGTGGGGCACAAGAGGGAAATGACATCTCACGGGCTGAGTCAGCGCTTGCACCCGTGAAAACGTCCAAGTGCCGTTTCCACATCGTTTTCAGCGGGCCTGTCCAAAACGAAATTTAAAACTGCACGAAAACGATGCACGAAAACGTGCTGTGAATTCCCCTAATATCCGTTTTCCATCTGATACGATGTCACGGCAAAATGCGCTATGTAGTCAGTCGACATCAAGCCAAATGCAGTTAAGTGGTGTTGGGCGCCTGGTGGTATACATGTACCAGTGGCCACATGCTTTGCTCTTCGCTGGCGACCAACCACGTTGTGGGTGCTTTCACCCTGCGCGCAGCTCCACGGGTCCTTCGTTACACTAATAGACTGCTTCCACAACGCGACACACCTTCAACGCCGCTGGTACGACTTTCACTGTCGATGCCAGATACCAAGCCCTCTCAGGCTGCGGTCGGCATCACCTGGGTTCTGAGCTGACGGTTGCTGTCTGGGACAAAAACCCTGGCGAGAACCGTGTGATCAGGAAGCTCAGCAATGTCAGCTGGCAGGTAAATTCTTTCAGTATGTTATTCATGCTTTGGGTCAACTCTCGTCTGGTCAGCTTGCAGAAGCCAAACGATGCTTGCGCGAAATCAGGTAAAGCATGACGATTTCTCACAGAATCTAGCATGCGAATACCGGTATGGCAATATTCAAGTTTCCGCGTCACTTTAAGGGCCATGACAACGTGAGCAAGCAGCTTGCGCTCTCCTGTTCCAGGTCGCCCACTGAGGTCCCCGGACCGCCCGGCTCCGTGACCTTGAAATACACTTCCACCCAAACGGCGCTTTGACGAAATCTATCTTATGGTAGGTCAGTGCTTTTCGACGATTCTCGTATCTAATCGTTCCATGGATAGCACTCAGGAAGAGTATTGTGAGACGGATCTCCGAAAAATTGTTGGGTTTATCTGCTATCTATTGCACATCGGTAGATCCGTTTGGAGTGCTCACTTTCGGGCATGGAACTTCTAGGTCCAAAGGTTGACCGGCATCTCCGTTGGAGGCAATAGACAGGTGAGAGTTCCCACATCCTGCAATCTTCTTTGACATGCTATCCCGTAGCCTTCGAAACCACGTATGTAGGATCATTGAACTCACGGGATTACCTTCACAACTCACATTATCTACTATTCCTGATGCTGAGGTGAGATGCTCCTCCGTGCCCTCACGGGTCAACGTGCTGAGTCCATATTTAGCTACACAACCATGCCCTCTCACTCGGGTCAGTTACTTGCATCCCACTGGCGGAGCGTGTCCGGAATGTTAACTCTCGATTGCTCGATCTCCTTTCCGAAGTGTTTTCCCTCAATGTCGATTCGACAATCACTTGCAAAGGTGCCCTATCACACAAGTATTTGGACGACGTTCGATGTGATGCAGATGGATTTGTCTGTTTGCCAATGCGTTTTGTGGAGCGACTTTGTTGGGCAAAGGTTGACTTTAGTTTGCGCGCAATACAAGGGAAACCTCGACGACGACGTATTGAACATATCCCAAGACAACTAATCAAAGAACTACGTTCATTCTATGCCTAGCAGCACGACGATACAATGGAAATTTTACCGCCGGTACTAGACCTTGGAACAGGTGTTGCGGCACGCGTCCGTCAGTTTTTGGTTGATAACATTCTAAATCCAATAATGACAGCCTTCGATACCACCTTCGCCTATTCCACACTGAAAGATGTGGGAAACGGTACGCACACTGCCTGCTCGCCATCAGTTGTACCAGCTGCGATGGTATGCTCGCGTTGCCATTGCTTTCATAACGTTTTACGACTCGCTTTTACACTTGTAGCGTTCTGTAGGACACCGTTCACCAACACCACGCTCGCGGGTCGAGACGGAAGCTTTGGAGAAAGCAGGTGGAAGACATCAGTTTTTGTATTCGCGCTAAGTGATCTGTTAGGAGAGGAATAGTAAACTCCCTTCTGGATCACATTTCGAAAGAAAGTTAGGTGGAGGACCCAACAATTACGAACGCCGCACTCCTCGCAATGGATTTCGATGGTAGTCGTCGCCCGCTGGTGGCGGTCCAAAAACCTTCCTGCAACCCGAGATTCGTCGCTGGACAGATCGAAGTCTCCCACCCTCCAGTTAGGGATGCGTGACATAGGGGATGATTTTGGTCAAACAGTGAAAAGCGGCTTTGAGGAACCCGGCGTGCCAATCCAACGGCCCCCACTTTCGAAGCACGCTTCCTCGGTGGCCCAGTTCACTGCACTCCTTGACGTACAAGGCGGACAAGGAAACTGTCACAAAGTGTTGTTGACCTGACCCGGACAATTAAAAAAGACATCTGCATACCGATGCACCGGTGGTGCGTTCGGCGACATATGGAAGTGTTACTGGTTCAGTGACCCCGAAGATGATGGCCCAGAGCTGGTATGTGTACTCCATTATTTAATCATTGCACCATCCAACATCGTCAAGGTTGCTGTGAAGGCGATGAGAACCAATATCATGAATGAAAAGGTGAAGGAGAAAATGGTACGAGTATCTCTGGTCCAGATTCTTTCCTAGATCTTCACGCTCGTCCGCAGAGCGCTTTCATCGGGAACTGGGGGTGTGGAAGCGGTTGGATCACAAAAAACATCACGCCCTTGTATGGAATAGCCTTCGGCTTCAGGTTTTACCCGATGGTATGCCCATGGGCACCCAATGGCGCACTTAGTCAATATTTGCAACTTCACCACTCAACACTTCCTTTGGCTGAAATGTTCCAGATCGTAGGTTAAGGTCCTTGTCCTGTTGCATGTATCTGACCTGTCGTCGACTAAGCTTGACGACGTGGCGAGCGGATTACAATATTGTATGCACCTTCATTCAAGATGCTAGAGCGATCATTCATTACTCTCTGGTAGTACACAGCAACCACGTTACCCACGGTGATCTGACTGGGGTAATGTTCCTGTCTTCTCTGTTGCTACGAAGCTGAATATTCCTCCCTGCAGAACAATATTCTGATGTTTGGCGATGGTGGAGCTCTTAAGGAATTGTGGGGTTCCGATTATTTCACCTGGTCTGCCCGAGGGACTCTCTGGTGGGCTGCGCCTGAACTTTTCCAGTGTGACGAAGAAAGTGGGGTGACGGGATTTGCGGAATCGCCAAGTGACGTATACTCGTTTGGCAGCATCATTCTCCAGGTCCGTCGTTGCCTCATTTGTCTAATTCCCAAGCCCACTGACATTTGTCGACTCAGGGAGTTGTACCTTTCGTTTGTGGGAATCATCAAACATCAGTATCTTCAATCGGGAGGAGAAACCGTACAATAGCCACGCGGGAATGGGTAATGTACCAAGAGGTACGGGAAGCCTCTAGGTGAACACGGACAATAATATCTGATGGTCCTGAGACCGCCGTCCTCGCTGGCTGACATCATACAATCAAATTCAGAGTCAAAACATACATGCAGGGTGTTCGACAGAGAGAGTCACATGCCATTCCATCATCTCTCTTTGAGGAAGCAACTACCTCATTCTACATCAACCTCAGCTTCAGGGACTGTCGCGGTGCTAAATTTATTACCCAACACACTAAGTTCCTCCTCCACTTGCGTGATGTTAACAGGCCCCGGTCCTAGCTCTACCTTTCCAGAGCTGGAAGTTCCGTCCGAGGGTAAAACCGACCCAGGGAATGAGACAGTAAGAGTCCTGGGCTGGAGGATCTGGTTAACTGCGGTGACCCGCCGTGGGTCGAAGTAACGAAAGCGGATGACCGGGTAAGACACCACCGGCTTTACGCTGCAATAGCGATTAGAATCTTCAAGTAACATTGAACACAGGTCACGTTGGGACGTACGTCAGGTTAATACAAGAGACGTCCTTGTGCCTCGCAGGTGCGCCGAGCACAAAGAAACGTTTGGAGATGCTCGTAAGTGTGTAGAACATGCCAACGAAGCCTCCCTATGGTATAGGTTGTTTAGTCGCGGTATGAAGAGGTCCCAGGGTCCGACCTACTACCATTCGATCTTCAGAAGTGATTGGGTTGACTACCGTCTCTCCCTCAATATGCACGTCTGTGATTGCCGAGGGTCCCGCCCCACTCTGCCCGAGTAACACCTTCTTGTACTCGTCGCGAGTGAGAGTCTTCCCATTAAGGACGACTTCGAGGTCTTGGGCGAAAGTAGCGTCAAAAATCCTGTTGAAGCTATCCGTCGTCTCGCTTCGCAGGAGAGAATTGAGGCGTGACGATGTCCAGACAGGAAGAGGGACGACTCGAGGGAGGACGCGTTCTGATGCCATAGCTGTTGTTTGGTGATCTGTGTTTGTAGGTTATGAGTCTGAGTGCCAGGTCATTCGTGCTTTATATCTTGAACGAGATTGCCATTTCAAGGCTCTGGACTTTGAAGACAATCGATGAGTGCCAATGGCACGTATGGCCGTGACACCGGTTTTCCCCTACTTCCATGAATCCTTTCCATCATGCCCTGACCAGCGACTCAGATAGGAGTTATTGCGCAGAGGAACGGGAGAAACGAAGAGCAATAAGGCACGAACACTTGCCTTTGTTAGAACGGTTGTAGCGTTTGAAGATTGAAGACTACCGGAAATATGCATTCAACATGGATTGTATTATGATTGCCTTGTACTTGGACATGGCACTGCGTATTAATAGTGCGGTGGATATGCTCTCGGTGTCGTTGGGTAACAGGCGATCGTTGCAGGAGCTTATGAATGCCATGGGCGACGAGTGGACTTTACACAAGTCAAACGTGAAAGCGTTACTTTTCAGTCACGAATCGTGCCCTACATCAATTTCAGACCTTGTCCAGCAAGCCTTGGCAGCTTGTCAGGCGTCTATCATCCCTGACATGGCCGTGCGCTTCCACGCGCTGGGCAGGATCAGGACGAGTATGATACCAGACGAGGTATGTGCGAATGGTCAAAATTAATCCGTCCACTCACAAAGTCTCGCATTATTTCTCTGGCATAGCATATGTCAGTGCTTGCCAAGATCTCCCGTGATGGAGAGCTTTTAGATTCCTTGAAGCCACTTTCCGTGAAGAATGACGTCGTGCCAGAAATCTCAGTGGGAATGGATAAACTCACGTTGACCTGTAGTCGCTATTCGACTCGTATCAGAAGCTCCACTCAGCAGGTATGCTAACAGCGATGCATCGGAGTCGGGTGCGTATGAACATTCTTTCTGCATAGGTCCTCTAGATAGAAACAAGGAATGGTGCTCAAGTATCGGGTCGGACTATCCATGTCGAAGGGCGCCAGGCACACATCGAATTTTCGGGTTCCATGGCGACGAAATACAGTCGGTGACGACATTCGGCAAGGCGGATCTCACGTCTGCAGAAGCTTATCGCGAAAGCATTGTCCTCGCTATCTTGAAAGGGGAGTCCACTGACATGTCACATCCGTTTTTTAAGGCCATATGGTTCCCGAACAATCCAATTCATTGACTCTCATCTGACCATCTAAATCCCAAGATACCGATTCGTTGCCGAGATCTTCAAGTCAACGCCTCTCAGGAAAGAGCCATCGAGAAAATCTTGTCTGCCGCGGATAAGGATCGAGTAGTGCTGATTCAGGGAGCCCCAGGAACCGGCAAGACGACAGTCATCACTGCTGCTATTACCGGCATTATTAGCCACCGATGCCAGTAGTCGGACTGTTTGAATAGCTGCACAATCAAACGTCGCTGTGAAGAACATTGCCGAGAAGTTTGACAGCAAGGAATTCTGTGATTTCAAACTGCTGGTGTCGAAGGAATTCCACTTTGAGTGGTGCGTCCCCACATCACACCTGATGACTAGAGGGTGGGCAGATTCCGATGGGATGATCCTCAACAGTCTTGAGAAGGTTTCGTTGGTGCATGAGACTTTCTGAGACCCTATTGTCGTGAGGTAATGGGATGGCGATGTTTCCAGATCCGGGGTCGAGCCCGAGGAATATCTCTGGCCAGGGGGCAAGGGGTATTGGTTAGATGGCACGGGGTAGGGACTAGATTAGTTCTGCGCTAGGGCGTTTACAGTCGAATAGGATGTGCTCTAGAGATTCGGGAGTGCTGTAGCGTGCGCGGTATTCGTATGCGGGTATCCCGAAATGGAAGTCTCAAATTCGCCGAGCACCATGGAGAGCTTTGAAAGAGAAGGATTGGACTGGGCGTCTGATGTCTTGATGCTGGCTGTCACTATGTGTCGCTACCTGTAGTGCGCTTCGTGCCTTCTCTGGGTCGGTGTTAACGAACTTATAGCTACATGGATGCTTGCATGGGTGCACTGAGTCAGAGACTGACCAGTGAGAAATTGGCTTAAATGGTAGCTCGTCTACTTCTCTGTTTCACCTGATGCCTTCGTGACCTTAAACGCATTGAAGGCGGGTTGATGTTGCCCTGCACCTGAGGTGATGGGCTACTCATCCGGAGGTTGGGACCCGAGACCTCGGTCTATCCAGTGGTTGCCAGTAAATGAGTCAGAGATCGTATAACGTATGTACTGCGAGCCGGCCATTATTGCTACCAGTAGTTCGGTCGACAAAGACACTGCCGATTTGCGGGGCTACAATTACTGCCACCAGCTCACCACTTTGATTTGTGTTCGTCGCCAGGGACCCTGATCACTCTGTTCATCGGATGGCCTCGAGCAACCCAGATGCCTGCACCGATCACTCGGTCTGTGAATATTTGAATACGATTAGGGAGTTCTCTTGCGGTTCGCAGCGGAGAGCTGGTGTCAACAAGTGGCCGTGAAGACTCGGGGAGGAGGCACGTGAGACGGTGATTGATGGGCTGAAGACCTACCACAAAGTTGTGCCTTCGATGCGAGGAGCGGCTAGTAGAGACCGACAACGGAGAAGGTAACATGCTAAGTGACTGCCATACGATGAACTTGGCCAAGCCGTCTTCTCCCAGATGCCTACGTGGAAGCCGTACTACCTGCCGACACCCTTAGACCACCGATCCAAGGTGCACGCCCATCTGCGTACCTGCGTAGTGGCAGGTGCCAACGTTCTTCGAACCTGCATGGATTGCTGACCTCTGCAACAGTGACCATTTCGATGGGACATTCAGATGCTTGTCTAGTATGCTTCAGGTGCCCAGACGTGACTAACCCATGTTATACACAGCATGCTTCCTTACCTGCAGGCTGCCTGGTGCTGTGGATCGCCCAGCGCCCATTTCATTATGGCCATCAGATATAAAGGCCTGTTCGCCGCGTTTCAGGGTCGCTGCTCCTTGCCTTCGTTAAATCCTCCCCTGTACTCTCTCTCGATGTCTCTCGCATTATCGACCGTCACGCCCAGATTGTTCCGGGACTACTCTTCCCAAATCGTCTTCGAAACTTCATCAGAAGATTCCTTAGATGCAAGGCACCTTCGCTCATTGCTCAGTACGGTGATGTCCGAAGGTGCCATTGGCATCTCTGCTTCGTATGGAGACAGTTGCCAACTTAGTGCAATTGCTTTCTCCTCACCGTCCAGAGCTCTGGTGGTGCACCTCACTAGCGGTGATCTGTCTCTAGGCAGGAACGATAGCAAGCGAAAGAGAATTATCCAAGGAAGGAACCTCCTCCGGCAACAAATTCTCTGCAATGCAAACTACCAGAAGTTCGCATTCAAAATGGATCGTATTGCGATCGCATTGTACTTGGACATGGCACTCTGCATTGATGGTGCAGTCGATATGCTCTCGGTGTCGTTGAGTGGCAGGCGATCCCTGCAGGCACTTATGAACGCCATGGGTGGCGAGTCGACTTTAGAAAAGCCAAACGTGGAAGCGTTGTTTTTTGATAATGAGTGGCCTTCTGTATCAGATTCAGATCTTGCCCAGCAGGCCTGGGCAGCTTGTCAGGCGGCCATCTTCCCTCATATGGCTGCGCGCTTCCACACATTGGGTAGAATCAGAACAAATACGATATCGGATGAGGTATGTACTGGTGGTCAAAATTAATCCATTCGCTCACACTACCTCGCATTGTCTCTCTTGTATAGCATATGGCAGTGCTTGCCAAGATCTCCCGTGATGGGGAGCTTTTAGATTCCTTGAAGCCACTTTCCGTGAAGAATGATGTTATGCCAGGCATTGCAGTGAAAATGGATAAACTCACGTTGATCTGTGGCCGCTATCCGACTCGTATCAGAAGCTCGACTCAGCAGGTGTGTTAATAGAAGTGGATTTGAGTTGGGTGTAAATGAACATTTTCTTTGCACAGTTCCTGCAGATAGAAACACAGGATGGTGTTCAAGTTCCGGGTCGTGCTGTCCACGTCGAAGGACGGGAAGCTCAAATCAAAATGTTAGGTTCCTTTGATGGCGGCGAAATAAAGTCAGTGACGACAATCGGCAAGGCAGACCTCACGTCTGCAGAGGCTTATCGCGAAAGGGTTATCCTCGCCATCTTGAAGGGGGAGTCGACCCTATTGTCGCATCCGTTTTTCAAAGCGGTATGGCTCCCAAAAGATGAAATATGTTGGCCGCAATCCGATGACACGAAGCCCAAGATACCGATTCATTGCCCAGATCTCGAAATCAATCCTTCTCAGGGAAGAGCCATAGAGAAAATCTTGTCTGTCTCAGATGAGGATCGAGTGGTGCTGATTCAGGGAGCCCCAGGAACCGGAAAAACGACAGTGATCACTGCTGCAGTTACCAGCATTATTTCGTTCCCGGCTTCCAGTAGCCGAACTGTTTGGATAGCTGCACAATCAAATGTCGCTGTGAAGAACATTGCCGAGAAGTTTGCCAAAATAGGTTTCTACGACTTTGCATTGCTGGTGTCGATGGAATTTCACTTTGATTGGTGCGTCCCCATATGACTGGAAAACCTTCCTGCCCAACGAATGTCATAGGCATGAACATCTTTACGAGAGGCTTGAACCGTGCCTCATTCGCTCTGATACGTTCAGTGAAGATATCGTTGGCGCGTCCAGGCAACTTCGTGGGGCCAGGGTAATCCTCTGTACCCTAGGCATGTTATCAAACGACCATATCGCACCCTTCCTCCATGTCAATCCAGTAGATTTTCTAATTTTTGACGAAGGGAGTCAGATAGAGGTCGGACATTATCTTGCAGTTTTTGATCGCTTTGCACAGACTCTGACGAAGACCGTCTTTATTGGAGACGATAAGCAGTGTGAGTCATGATCACGACCCTTTGTTCGTGTTTTTGATTGCATTGTAGTGCCACCTTATGGTCAAGAGGACATCTCGACGCTACGGAGCATCTTCGAAGTCAACCACCTTCGTAAAGAAAAACTGTTCTTGGATACACAATGTGAGTCAACTTATTCCGGCTCACATATGTTGACCAACCTCTCCAGACCGCATGCCGAGTGTCATCGGCGACTTCATATCACGAAAAGTCTACAACGGAAAGCTGAAAACCTGTCATGCGAACTCCATTAATCTACCATGTCGCTTCGTCAATGTTGAAAGAGGACAGGAAACACGATCAGGAAAGAGTTGGACAGTGTGTTAACTTCTTGACTCCACTGACAGTACGCTTATATCAAGGTAGAATCCTTCAGAGGCACGAACTGTAGTGCAGATTGCCGGTGCATACCAGGCTAAGGGACTCGACTTTCGTATCATCACACCATACGACGCCCAACGCGCTCTCATTGAACATGAGCTGCAAGTGGCGAACGTATGTCATGAAGACAAAGTATTCAACGTAGACTCATTTCAAGGTTTGCTGCCTCGCTCCGGTTCTTTCCTTGCAGGCTCAACCTAGTTCCAGGCAAAGAGGCAGAACACATCATCATCTCTGTGGTCAGAACGGACAAACTTGGCTTCCTGGCTAACCAGCGACGAACCAATGTCATGCTTACCCGTTGCAAAAAGACTATGGTGATATGCACGAGCAAAGCATTCATATGGGGTCCAGCAGCATCGACTCTTATCGGAGAACTTGCAACCGCTCTTGGACCACAATCATGGGTACATGGGGCTGTTCAGCTTATCACGCCTCCCCGGGATGCAGTACCGCATCGCCCAAATACTCAATTAACTGCGCATTACCTTCCCGCCTTCATCCAAAGCAGTCACACACCCGCCAGTTCTTTGGCATCACCTCGCAGTGTGCTGCAACCGTGGGTATGTGGGAATGCTCAACTTATCACGCCGCTCCGGGACATGGTACCGCATCGCCCCAACACTCACTTGACCGCACACCACCTCCCCACGGTCACAAACGTTTCAGATAAACAAACCCAAGGCAGTCACCCGCCCGCTAGTTCTCTGACATCTCCATTGCGATCGCGCCAACAGGCCGCCTCTAAAGTCCACCCTACACCTGTGAACGTTGCAGGTAAACGAACCCAAGGCGGTCACGCACCCGCCAGCCCTCCGACACCAGCTCATAATCACTCATCGCCATCACGATCGCGCCGACGGAAGACCTCTAAAGCGCACCCCACATCGAAGAAGAACCGTGGTTTAAAAGCGCCCGGCGGGAAATAGGGACCATTGGGGTCCTTACGTTAGCTAGTTACCAGACAGCGTGGTGCGATACAATGAAAAAAAAAAAAAAAAAACTGCTACTCCTGGACTACAGTAGGCACTGGTTGTCGCGCTGTGTACGTAGTAGAGCTGGCTCTATGACGCTATGACGCTGCATCTGTAACATTAAACAAACAAAAATAAAACAGCTGATTGCGCGACTTTTGCAGCACTGCTCCTGCGCAACTTTTTATACTACCCCTGCGTAATTTTTAACACAGCCACCTTGTACCACTTTGCACTAGCTAGGAGGGCAGATAAAATAGATAAACGTAGGCAGGACGTGAACACAGTTCGTCGGCACCCTCCCCAGTCACCCCGCCCAATCCACGAGGCCGTGATGCCCCACAGGGCCCGCTCGATCGCTCGACCCCCTCCCCCGCCGCTCCTGCCTGGTGGCGGGATTGCTCCTTCGGGAAATTCCCACGGCATCACCACCTGCAAATTCATGTGACTGCACTCCGCACCTCAAGTCATCACTGGCCTAGCGAATTTGGGCCCGTTTCTTGGCAAAATACCCATTATTACATGGGTTATGTACAGTAGCATTGAAATGAGTCCCGAGGAATGGGTGAGGAGTGTGTGTAGCCCTGACTCACTCGCTCCCCTGTGCACATGCCCTGCTTAGTCAGTAGCTGTGGGCACAGCCACCTGCAAATTTTCTGCACATTACTGCAAAAGTCATGAGTCAGGGCTACATGCACTCCTCGTCTGTTCCTCAGGACTCATTTCGATGCTACTGTACATAACCCATGTAATAATGGGTGTATTGCCAAGAAATGGGCCCAAATTCACTAGGCCAGTGATGACTTGTGGCATGGAGTGCAGTCACATGAATTTGCAGGTGGTGATGCCGTGGGAATTTCCCGAAGGAGCAATCCCGCCACCAGGTGGGAGTGGCAGGGGAGGGGGTTGAGCGTTTGAGTGGACCCTGTGGGGCATCATGGCCTCGTGGATTGGGTGGGGTGATTGGGGAGGGTGCCAATGAACTGTGTTCACATCCTGCCTATGTTTATCTATTTTATCTGCCCTCCTAGCTAGTGCAAAGTGGTACAAGGTGGCTGTGTTAAAAATTAGTGGCACTCAAGGTGGCTTTGGAAGTGCTCTGGAATCGCACTCTGACAGGCCACTGCTGCTATAAAATTTGACTCTGATGTGCCATGCCCTGTGGCACTGCTTGACTAGCAATACATGGTAGTTACTTATCCTGGAAGATACATGTCAAATAACATATCAAACTCATATTAATGCATTGTACATGATCAATAAACATCTACCCATCATCCAAGAGCTACCAGATGCCCTGGAAATCTGTCTGCCAAGATCTGCTCAAACAGCTGGACGAGACTAGCCTTCATGTTGTGATAGCAAGGCTTGAAAATGCACAACGTGGAGTTGATGGTAGCAGCTCGGAATCTATGTCAATGTCACTGAGTTCAGGCTCCAGCTGCCCCACAACTCTCTTCTTCATCACTCCACCATTGCCAGTCACTCCGATCCTGTCAGATTTCTAATCCAGTGCCTCTGATGACACAGACTCCACAGCTGAGCATGATGGGTGTTATGCTTGGCTGTTAAATGCAATCACAGCTCTCAGAGATGAAGTAGAGCATGCACATATCCTTGAGAGACCTGAGATGCCAATGATGTGAGCATCTCAGCTGTGCCTCCTCGAACATTTTGCAGATCATTGGCCCCACCTGTTTTGAAAGTGCCTTTGTGTAGACCCACCAATTTTTGATTGCATTCTGGATCAGATTAGTGGACATGTGATATTCCAAAGCAATTCTGAAAACTGTCAGCTGGCAGTTGCAGTCCAGTTGGTGATCTTCCTTTTCCGTGCAGGGCATTATGGAAATGTGGCATCACCTGAGGATGTAGCGCAGTGGGCTGGTGTTAGTATTGGCTCAGTTGTCAATTGTACAAACTGTGTGATGGTAGCTATACTGGATGAGCATGATAGATTCATCAATATTCTGTCTGAAGACTTGCAGGAGATGGAAAGAGCATGGGTTTTCACTGAGTCATGCACCTGTTCAGCCTGGAGGAATGGTGTGTTTGCCACTGATGGTTTGAGTATTCCCCTCTTTGAGAAACCACATATCTTTGGGGAAACATTCTATGATAGAAAATCTAGGTACTTGTTGAACTGCCAGGTGTGTACTCAAATGCTGGGTGTGAACAGCAGAAGAAACTTACTGAGATAGCTTATTGTTTTGCTGCACAATCTTCTTGTTGTGGACTATGGACTTGGACATCTGGGAAGCATCCATGATGTGTGGGCCTTCCAGGGGACTTGCATCGCTTCAAACCCTATGCAGTTGATTCCATGTGATCATTGGATGTGGGTGGACAGTGCATACCCATCGGAGACGTGGTGTGTTGTCCCCTTCAAAAAACCTAAAGGTGGGAGATTATCTCGAGATCAGAATGTATATGACAAGTACCTTTCAAAGGTACACACCTAGTTTTGCTGCAGTACATGGGCTGACAGCTTTGGAAGATCCACATACAAGTTGAACATGCATTTGCCACCTTGAAAGGGTGCTTTCAAAGCCTCTGTGAAGTGTGCCTGAAAATCCAGACAGAGAAAGATATGAAAGTCATGATTTACTGGGTGCTTTGTTGCATCATCCTACACAACATAATCATCCAGTTTGAGGAGGAAATGGACAATACAATTGAGCATTCAACTGACTGGGCGGTCAATGAAGGAAGTGGCCTTGATGATGGGGATGGAATTGCTGTGGTGAAGGCTGTGGAGACTATTGGTCAGTGATTTCGAGCAAAGCTATTGGATCAGTTGTTTCAACATCTTGGACAGGAACGAACCCATTAATGGCAGTTGTAGGAGACAGTAGTATTAGCAAGATGAAAGAAATACATTCACCATATGTACATCTTGTGAGAGAATAGCAGAAACATGAATATGATGCAAGTACATAGTGGGAACATGCTGGAGATGGATACAGTGGGGAAGTGTGGGTAAAAACTTGGCCATGACAAGATAAACCTATGCAGCAGGAGGGGTTGCATCTGAATTGGCCTTCATGAGTTTCACAAGCTCAATTTTGAGGCAAAGTGTCTCTGCCTCACTGTTGAAGGTGATTTCCTGGGCCTTTATCAGCTGGATGTTGAGTTTCTTTGCCTCCAACTCCAATTCCATCTTGATCATATAGCATTTAGTCTTCCCAGAAGAAGAAGAAGCCACTAGTGACTCAGCTTTGTGACTCAAGTCAATGACCTGGTCTTGAAGCTGAGACTTGCCATGTTTAGTTAGCATCAAACTTGGCTTCATTGAACTTGTCTTTGATGATGAGTCCCAGAGGGACTGGCTAGGTTTTCAGGAAGAGCTACCAGAGGAGTCAGATGTTGTCATAGAGGAAATACTTGCAGATGAAGGAGGAGGGCAAAGATATGGCAAAGACCAAGAGAAGGCAATTTGGCTATCTGATGAGGGCATATGACCCCTTTGCAGGAGGGAGAACCTAGAGGGGAAATGAGTGTCACTTGGCATTGAAGGCCATTGTAACTAGCAATAACTTATCAGTAAAATTTCATTAACATTGCTCTGAATGAACATGAACATACCTTGTCACCCTGCACAGATGTGGAGTCCATGTTGACATCAGGGTACTCATCACCACCAGTCTGCTCATCCCCAAACCCTGGCATTGCCTCATCAAACCCAGCTCCACCATCTTCTTTGCCCTCATTAGTGACTTCACCACCAGCTTGAGATGGCACATCCTCCTCGGCTTCCTTGAGTTCCCCCACTGTCCCCCACACACCCATGCAATCACCTGCAATCTCAGCCCTGGAACCCGAAATGTTCTTCATACCAAGTGTCTTGTTTTGGATAACTGCTAAGAAGCCCTCTGCATGGCTTTTGTTTGGCTTGGAGTTGAAGGGCTTGGGATCAAACAATGGGTTCTCCTGCCAAATGGAATGTAAGTCATCATACCAAGGAAAACTGTTGAGAACAACATCTGTATGTACACATAAGCCCCTGCATTCTTGTACATTGGTCATGTAACATACCATGAAGGTTGGCAAATTTTGGATGGCCAGGTATGATGCCTTCCCCTGACTGTTTGAATCATGCATGGCACTTTTGATAGCTTGCTTTCAGCCTAGATGATCATTAGTGAATCCTGGGTTTATCAGATGATCAGAGACTCATGTATTGAGACAGTTGCCCACACTGACTTGAAACTTGGCAGCACTTGCTGTGTACATGTCCTTGTAGACACTGTCATCCTTGAAAATGGCTTGGGCAATCATTGCTTGGACCTCCTTCTTGTTGTGGCCCACCAGTCTCTCAGTTGAAGTAGATGATAATGATGGGGGTAAGTTGCCTGAGTTTTTGTTGCTGAAAAGAATCCTGCAGTTAGCAGGATGGCTAAGAAGCCACTGGACAAGTATTTCAGTACAAGGAGTATCCCAATTGATGTTTTTCGGCTGGGTACTTTCCATCGAGGAGTCAGCCACTGGCTGCTTGTTGGATGCTGGGCCCTTCCCTTTACTCCCACTCCCAGGTACTTGTGAGGACAATCCACCACCAGTAGTTGCAGTTACAGAAGGCTTTCCTCAATGAGCTTGTCCACTCAATGAAGCCATGGGTTTTGATAAGAGTGACTGCAGGCAAGCAGACCATCGAGGGTGTCATTGATAGGGAGGCATAATTTTCAAACTCTGTCATGGCATTGCTCTCAAATTTGCCACTTCCAGAGCACTTCCAGAGCACTTCCAAAGCCACCTTGAGCACCACTATTATGCAGGGGTAGTATAAAAAGTTGCACAGGAGCAGTGCTGCAAAAGTTGCACAATCAGCTGTTTTATTTTTGTTTGTTTAATGTTACAGATGCAGCATCATATGGCTCTCGTATAAGCTCGTTCTCGATGAAGTGAAGCCTGTTATCCACTAACGTTCAAGAAGACGTCGATAAAATCTTCAAGTATTGTAGTCCACACTTTCACCTTTCGGCCCGTGTCTAGGGAAGGGTTGCACTTGCGAAGCGACTACCACAGTCCGACACAGTCGACCTATCGAGGACTCGCCGAGCTAATATTATGCCAGCTCCCGAACGTGTCGTTAGGTGGGTCTTGCAAAACTATCCGCGTCCAACCATAGATTCGGTGAGTCCGCACGTTGCGTTCTCTGCCACCCTAACACTCCATTGAAAGGAATGGCTGTCGGATTGTTGTGATTGGATATCGAGTACATACAACATATCGCCGTCCACCCACTTCCACGACTTCATCACGCACGTCGAGGCACAGCTCCTCCAATCCAATCTCGAGGACTCAACAGTTCCTGGTACCGGTTTGGATGCGGAGCTTGTCCGAATTGAAGATCGTCCACTTCCACGTCGACCACGGGGACGGGGTCGTAAGCCCAGCTCACGAGCGACTCGGAAGCCAACGGGACAGCGTCCACAAAGAGAAACTACCGGTTCTGTCCCGTTGTTGGTAGAAATTAGGTCTATCACCGAAATCGCGCATTCTGCATTTAGTCTCCTAAACATTCATCAGACGCGCCTCGATCGTGCCGATCTCGGTTTGGCCGTCGAAACTCGGGATCATCAGGAACATGGACAAGGACGGCAAGATGAAGATCAAGGTCCCATTCCACGTTTCCCCCGTGGCATGCTTCGCTTCGAGTTGTCGGATGGACACACCCTCTTCCAGGCGATAGAATTTAGGTCCATGCCTGAATTGGTGCTCGGAGAGACCCCATTAGGTTTCAAGGTATGTTCTTTGTACTGTTCCTTGGTTATTTTGTATTTCCCGTCACCGTTATTCAGTGACATGCGCCCCTAGATGCTCTTAACCTCCACTCCGATCCGGAATGGGATCGCTTTCCTTGAACCTTCTAATGTAACACTTAAAGGCTACTGCACGGAGGACCATGATGCTCACAGAGTAGAAGTATTTTTGAAGGGACTCAGAAGGAGGTTTGGGTAAGTGACATTCTCTTTGACTGTGGTTGCATGAAATTACACGAAGTGCCCTGTTCCTAGACGTCCAGACCCAGAGCCCGAGGCTCCACGACAAGTTGAATCCCAGCCTCGTCAACCCGTTTCCCCGGTGCCTCCTCCGCAGCCCATTGCTGTCCCGACACGCCAGGTTGAGCCGTTTCGTCCTCCTTCAACGCCGGGAGACCTTGATGACATGTACGAGGACGACGAGATCAACCCAGACATGTTAGATGCGCTGAACCAAATCGAGACTCAGGTGGCCGGCTCAGCTGGACCACCTAAAGTGAACTCGGTTAAAGATGTGCCCAGGCACACAACATCCAGTTCAAGTACTGCTGCACGGTCAGCCAATCTGGAGTCTAACCTTGCCACGATGCAGACAACATCTAGCTTCCCGCAGCAACAAACTTCGCTTCACTTCTCGCCGCCGGCAAAGGCCAAAGTAACATCCACGCTGGTCCCAGATATTGGTCTTTCTCCGGTCCATGTCCAACAACACGATGAATTTAGTTTCACGTGGGAAAGCGACGAATTTGACGCCTTGAGGGCCTTTGATGACGGTCCCAGCAGAGAAGCAGGCATGGCAGCTAAGGCAAGCACTGGATCTCATACCTGGATGTCTTCCTCAAACAGGGAAAATGTACACATTGATCCTTTGCGGGATGCCGGAATGAAGGTTCGTTCGGTTACGAGTACCGGATCATCTCTGGAACCACAAGACTCATTCTCTATGGACATGGATTTTGACGACGATTTTCTGGCACAAGTGGAGGAGGCTGAGAGGCAAGCTTTGGCGCCCACTGAGACATCCTTCATATCGGAAGCACGACACACAAGTAACAAAGGAAAGGAGAAAGCGTCATCGATTCACCCCGGCTCATCCAACAGTGCGACGCGGCCGGTCTCAAACAACATACGAACACGTGGTGCTAGCTACTCTAGAGATTCTTCCGCCCGTAAGGAAGTGACACCTTATCCACCAACGTCGACGCAGCTGCCAAAGCGCGTTGGTGCTTCATCTCAGCCGCCGCCATCGACTCAGCCCAAACCAACGAAACACCACTTGACGTGTGACTCACCTGTCATCGTCATTTCTGAATCAGATTCGGAGGTTGGCGGTGCATGTGGCGAAGACCAATATGAAAGTGAACGGGCCGGTTTGACTGGAATCGACGCAGATGAGGATGCAATTGTTATATCCGACTGACTCCGCTTCTATGAATCATATTTCGTTACTAGTTAGACTGATTTTGTCTGTCCCAAGGTTTGCCCCGAACCCAGTACCTTTTTCGCCCTGGAGTGCCAACCGGGACTTGTGAGTAAGAGGAACTGCTGGTGAGAGAAACATCACCTTCACCTACGAAGTATGTACACCTAACCAACACCTAATAGATGTTGAATACAAAGAAATGAGCCTGTTAGTTGATCAAGGTGAGGGCGTGACGGTGGGATCCAGGGCAGGAGGGATGCTGGAATCAGCCGGAATAGTGACATTTAAAAGCACCCACCGTGACGCAGAGATGCGACCCCCCTGGCCCGAGCGCGGCACCCGCACAATCATCTGAAGGGTACTCCCCGCTCCCCAGTGTGCCAAATATCATTATACATGGAATCTCAGTGCATGACAGTCTATTGTATGTGCGTGTGCTGACGATGTTTGTTGCTAGCCTGCCATTTACTGACCTCGGGACCAGACAGTAGTACTTTTTAGCGGTTCCTACTACCTGAGCATGGGACACTAGATCTGCTGAACTGTCGTGATTTTAGACCTCCCGTCAAACTCCGTTCTTAAGCTTGACTCTTCGCACTTTATTGAACTATTAGGTGGTCCGTGTTGTTCAGAGCACCCCCGCTACTTGCCAGCGCTTCCTCCGGGGACGTTGCAAACACCCGGTCGTTCGTTGATACACCATCCACCTTGGGAGTCTACCCTGATACGGAATTGTTCGTGTCATGTAGCGTTCAAGTCAGGGGTGGCTGAGGTTGCCACACCTTTCCTTCATATGCATTCTGGCAGTTTACTCGCCGAGACTGCGCTGAAACGCGCATGGTGCGTAATAGACGGAGTCGATACCTTTAATTACATAAATCTGGAGTCAGCGCAGGCACCCGTAAATGGGTGGAATTTTGAAAGCTTGAGTTTGAAATTTGAGCATGGATGTTCTCAAGGCCTCACTGGACTGCGCACAGTTGGATCTGATCTTGATGTGATCAAACCTCTACTGACCCACGATCTGGTTGGTCTTCTACATTGCATCTCGGCCTCAAAGCACTCAGGCGTATCCACCTCGATCATCGGACTCACGAAGGACAACAAACCGCCAGTTAAATAGAAGGACAGACGCAACGCGAAGCACGGGAAGATAACACCGGAAAAAAGAGCGAAGCAGAGGAATACAAGTCACGCGGAGTTCGCTGGGATGTGACTAGCCACCTAAATTTAGGCATGGTGTCGAACGTGTACAAGGGCATGAAGAAGCAGTATGGAAACGTCCGACGCAAGATCGCGGAGCGAAGGTGACGGTGAACGATGTTAGCGTGATTGAGTGGAGAAGTCGCGGAAGTTCGCTTAACGACTACTCTGGGAAGTGCCATCGATGCGAGGAGTAACCAGTAAGTAAAGACCAACGTCGGAGAAGGTGACATGTGACTCCCGTGCAATGGACTTCGCTGAACCGTCTTCTCCCACCGATGGGCTACGTGGAGGCCGTACGTACCGGTACCCTTGGACTATTGTTCCGAGGTGCACCTCCATCTGCACACCTGCGTAGTGGCAAATGCAAACGTTCTCCAAACTTACATGGATTTCCGACCGTTCCAAAAGTGACTATCTCCATGGGGCGTTCAGGTGCGTATCTCATATCTTTCGAGTACCTTACACAGGATGTTTCCTTACTTGCATGCTGTGCATCGCCTTGCGCCCACTTTCAATATGGCCATCAGGTGTTAAAGCTTGTTCGCCACGTTTCAAGGTCGCTGTTTCCTGCCTTCGTCAAATCCTCCTCTCTACTCTCTCTCGATGCCTCTCCCATTATCGACTGTCACGCCCAGATTGTTCCGGGACTGTTCTTCCCAAATTGTCTTCGAGACTTCAACAGAGGACTCTTTGGATGCAAGGCACCTTCGCTCATTGCTCAATACAGTGATGTCCAAAGGTGCCATTGGCATCTCTGCTTCGTATAGAAGCAATTGCCAACTTGATGCTATTGCTTTGTCCTCATCGTCTAGGGCTCTGGTGGTGCATCTCACTAGCGGTGATTTGTCCCTAGGCGGGAACCGTAGCAAGCAAAAGAGAGTTATCTATGGAAGGAATCTCCTCCAGCAACAAATTCTCTGCAATGCAAACTACCAGAAGTACGCTTTTAAAATGGATCGCATTGCGATCGCATTGTACTTGGACATGGCACTGTGCATTGATGGCGCAGTAGATATGCTCTCGGTGTCGTTGAGTGACAGGCGATCCCCACAGGCGCTTATGGATGCCATGGGTGGCGAGTTGACCTTACACAAGCCAAGCGTGAAAGCGTTATTTTTCAATAATGAGTCGTGTTCTGTATCAGATTCAGTCCTTGTCCACCAAGCCTGGGCAGCTTGTCAGGCGGCTATTCTTCCTCACATGGCCGCGCGCTTCCAGGCATTGGGAAGCATCAGAACAAATATGATACCAGATGAAGTAGGTGCTGGTGGCCAAAATCAATCTGTTCGCTCACACTACCTCGCATTGTCTCTCTTGTACAGCATATGGAAGCACTTGCCAAGATCTCCCGTGATGGGGAGCTTTTAGATTCCTTGAAGCCACTTTCCGTGAAGAACGATGTCGTTCCAGAAATCTCAGTGAAAATGGATAAACTCACGTTGACCTGTGGTCGCTATCCGACTCGTATTAGAAGCTCGACTCAGCAGGTATGTTAATAAAAATGAATTTGAGTCAGGTGCACATGAACAATTTTTTTGCATAGTTCCTGCAGATAGAAACACAGGATGGTATTCAAGTTCCGGGTCGTGCTGTCCACGTCGAAGGACGGGAAGCTCAGATCGAAATTCTGAGTTCCTTTGATGGCGGCGAAATAAAGTCGGTGACGACAATCGGCAAGGCAGACCTCACGTCTGCAGAGGCTTGTCGCGAAAGGGTTGTCCTTTCTATCTTGAAGGGGGAGTCCGCCCTATTGTCTCATCCGTTTTTTAAGGCCATATGGCTTCCCAAACATCCAATTTGGTGGATGCCATCCGGCCACCTCACGCCCAGGATACCGATTTCTTGTGTAAATCTTAAAGTCAATCTCTCTCAGGCAAGGGCCGTCGAGAAAATCTTGTCTGTTTCAGGTACAGATCGAGTGGTTTTGATTCAGGGACCCCCAGGCACTGGCAAGACGACAGTCATCACTGCTGCAGTTACCAGCATTATTTCGTTCCCAGATGCTAGTAGTCGGACTGTCTGGATAGCTGCACAATCGAATGTCGCTGTGAAGAACGTTGCTGAGAAGCTTGACAAAATAGGCTTCTATGACTTTGCATTACTGGTGTCGAAGGAGTTCCACTTTGATTGGTGGGTGCTCACATGCCTGGAAAATATTCTGCTCAGCAAATGTCATAGGCACGAGCATCTTTACAAGAGGCTTGAACCGCGTCTCATTCGCTCTGAAACGTTCAGTCGCAATGTCATTGGCGCGTCCAGGCAACTCCGCGGCGCCAGGGTCGTCATGTGCACCCTGGGCATGTTATCAAACGACCAAATTGCACCCTTCGTCGACGTCAATCCAGTGGATATTCTAATCTTTGACGAAGGGAGTCAGATAGAAGTCGGAAATTATCTCCCGGTTTTGGACCGTTTTAGGTACACCCTGGCGAAGATTGTTTTTATTGGAGACGACAAACAGTGTAAGTCATGACCGTGGCCCTTAGTTCGTTTTTTGACCGCGTTGCAGTGCCACCTTATGGTCAAGAGGACATTTCGACACTACAGAGCATCTTCGAAGTCGACCACCTCGCCAAAGAAAAACTGTTCTTGGACACACAATGTAAGTCAATTCGTTCCGGCTCACATATGTCGACCGACCTCTCCAGACCGCATGCCAAGCGCTATCGGTGACTTCATATCACAAAATGTCTACGATGGGAAGCTGAAGACCTGTCACGAGAACTCCGTCAGTCTACCATGCCGCTTCGTCAATGTTGAAAGAGGACAAGAAACACGATCAGGAAAGAGTTGGACAGTGTGTTACTTTCTTGATTCCAGTGACTGTACGTTGATATCAAGGTAGAATCCTTCAGAAGCACAAGTTGTAGTGCAGATTGCTGGTGCATACCAGGCTAATGGACTAGACTTTCGTATCATCACACCATACGATGCCCAACGCGCCCTCATTGAACATGAGCTGGAAGAGACAAACTTACATCATGAAGACAAAGTATTCAACGTAGACTCATTTCAAGGTTTGCTCTCTCATCCCGGTTCTGCCTTTCCAGACTCACCCTAGTTCCAGGCAACGAAGCAGAACACATCATCATTTCTGTGGTTAGATCGGATAAACTTGGCTTCCTGGCTAACCAGCGACGAACCAATGTCATGCTTACTCGCTGCAAAAAAACCATGATTATATGCACGAGCCAAGCATTCATTTGGGGTCCAGCGGCGTCTACTCTTATTGGAAAACTTGCAACCGCCCTTGGACCACAAGCGTGGGTACATGGAAACCTTCAACTTATCGTGCCTCCCCTGGATGTAGTACCGCATCACCCCAATGCTCACTTAACTGCGCACCGCTTCCCTGCGTTCACAAGTATTGCAGAAATTGCAGATACACGAATCCGAGGCGGTCACCCACCTCCTAGCTCTCTGACATTACCTTCCTATCGACCACACGCACAAGTATGTTGGGATGCTCCACTCATCGCGCCGCCCCAGGACCCCAACACGTACTCGACTGCACACCACCTCCCCACTTTCACAAAAGTTGCAGACAAACGAACCCAAGGCGGTCATACACCGACTAGTTCTCCGATATCACCTCACAATCGACCACAAGCGTGGGTATATGGGGATACTCAACTCATCACGCCGCTGGGACAGGAGATAGTACCGCATCGCTCCAACACTCGCTTAACTGCACACTGCCTTCCTGTGTTCACAACCGCTGCAGATACACAAACCCAAGGCGGTCACATACCCGCTGGTTCTTCGACATCACCTTCACAATCACTCCTCACCATGTTGATCGCGCCAACGAAACACTTCTGGAGCCCATCCTACGTCAAACAAGAACCATGTATTAAACACGCGCGGCGGGAAATAGGGGACCATCGTGGTCCCTACGTTAGCTAGCTAAGTACCACGACAGCGTGGTTCAACATAATAATAAAAGGAAAATGTTGCTACTCCTGGACTTCAGTAGGCATGTCGAGTAGTAAGGTTGGCTCATTTGAGCTCGTTCTCGATGGGGTCTTGTAGTTTGAAGCCTGTTATCCACTGACCTTCGAAATGCTCTGCACGATGTCGATAGAATATCCAAGTGTGTTGCGACCTGCCGTCGGCCAGAGTCGATGCGCACGGCAAACGGTGAACCCTCACGGTTAAAACAATTTCTGTAATGAGGTCACTCTGCCATCCACCACATTGTAGTTTACACTTTCACCTTGTGGTCCAGAGGAGGGTTTTATTTGCGCAGAAGCAATTACAGCAAATTCCGTTCCACAGAACCGCTTCGCGTTGTCGAAGGAAGAATGGCAGACTGCTCAGCAGAGTTAGATAGATGGCGTCTGTTCCGAAGCTTGCCCCGAACCTAGTGCAAGTAACAGTACCTTTTTCTCCCTGGAGTGTCATCCGGCGGGACCCGTAAGTGAAAGCAATAGCGGAAAACATCACGTTGCCCTACGAAGTGTCGGGGTGCACTCACACGCAGTATATGGAAAAGCCTTCGTCCTCACTCGCGACTACCCACGTACACGCCACTCGACGACGTGCTGTTACCCCTTCACCGCAGGACTTTCGCTGCGGTGACAGACACTAAGCTTGGGCATCACTTGGCTTCTGAGTTCACCGTTGCCATCTAAGAGAAGCGGGACATCAACAACTAACACCTTCAGTCCAGCAATACGGATGGGCAGTTGAAAGTCATCAGGGAAGAAGCAGCCACAGAATCTACCGTCCACGCGTGCGAATATCTGCCAATGTGACACTCCACCATCGGGCACGTCGGATCCAGGGGGGTTATCACGCCGTCCACCATTAATGTTCACTTCAATTCCCGCAACAGGGGTCTGCTGCACCTAACCGCAGCACTTGACACGGCTGATACGTTTCCCCGGTATGAAATTGCTCATTCGAGAGGAAGGGAAGCCGCGAGATGCATACAAGCCTGTCAGACTGTGGGATAGGCCAGATGACGACCGCATGGCCAGACGACTAGAGCATTCTATAGCGCGCACGACCGGCGAACTCACCCTCATCACAGCAATCCATCGTGACGTGCGATCAGCGGGCTGATCGAAGGAGACCTGTATCATACGAATCTTCGCATATCTGGGATGATTAGATGAGATTTTGTGGAAGAGAGAGGTGAGTTCAGGGTAATCCGGATTCCACGATGAAGCCGGGCCCGCAGTTCTATCGCGCCCAACGAGTGCTTCCGACTCCAGGTACGTCTTGAGGCTACCCTATTATATTATTGTCAATTTAGGAAACAACCTGTGTGTATTCGATAAAACTCGAGTCAATTTTTGAAGCTGTAAACAACCAGATGAGAGAACCAGAAGCCCTCCATAAGACTATATCTGATCCTTACCAGTTTGTCTTCGCATGAGTTCCTGAACCATGATTTCATCTCTTTCTTGCTACTTTTGTGGCCCTTGCCGTGCTGCTGTAGACGTGTTGGGAAAAATGGATTGTCCGTGAGTTTGAAGTGAGGATGCCGGGACGGTAACTGACAGTACCGGGTTGCCGTTGCATGCGGGTCCTTCTAAGTCAGGTGTTAAGTTTGTTCACAGCGCTATCGACATCGAGGCTTTGACAGGATTAATGCACGCTCACCACATTATGACTCCACAGGCACTGGGAGATGCATAGCCCAGCGGAACGACAATTGTTCTAAAATGATCATCTGTACGTTTATGTGATTCGATACCGTGAGTCGTGACCAAGACATCACATTGGATCGGGTAAGTGCAGCCCACTATGTCCGCCATTAGGCTTCTGCATCGCCCATAGTTGTCGTGCGTTTGACGTTGACGGAGTTATGGAAGTATGCGCTTTCTGATCTTACATGGGCGGCGATCATCGAGCTGAGGTCATCTACTCGTTAGTGCCATATCGAGCTCCTAACCTTCCCAAGTTCTGTAAACCGGCATCGGGAAACGTGGGCACCGGTGCAGTTTTCAGTTTCTGAAACTCCTATCTGAGTCGCTGGTCAGGGCATGATGGACAGGATTCATGGAAGTCGGTGGAAAACGGTGTCACGGCCATACATGCCATTGGTACCTACTGGTTGTCCTCGAAGTCGAGAGCCTTGAAATGGCAGTCTCGTCCAAGATATAAAGCTCGAATGGCCTGGCACTTAACCTCATAACCTACAAACACAGATAACCGAACAACAGCTATGGCATCAGAACGCGTCCTCCCCCGAGTCGCCCCTCTTTCTGTTTGGGCATCGTCACGCCTCAATTCTCTCCTGCGAAGCGAGACGACAGACAGGTTCAACAGGATTTTTGACGCTACTTTCGCCCAAGACCTCGAAGTCGTCCTCAACGGGAAGACTCTCACTCGCGACGAGTACAAGAAGGTGTTACTCGGGCAGAGTGGGGCGGGACCCTCGGCAATCACAGACGTGCATATTGAGGGAGAGACGGTAGTCAACCCAATCACTTCTGAAGATCGAATGGTAGTAGGTCGGACCCTGGGACCTCTTCGTACCGCGACTAAACAACGTATACCATAGGGAGGCTTCGTTGGCATGTTCTACACACTTACGAGCATCTCCAAACGTTTCTTTGTGCTCGGCGCACCTGCGAGGCACAAAGACGTCTCTACTATTAACCTGACGTATGTCCCAACGTGACCTGTGTTCAATGTTACTCAAAGGTTCTGATCGTTATTACAGCGTGAAGTCGACGGTGCCTTACCCGGCCACCCGCTTTCGTTACCCCGACCCACGGAGGATCACTGCAGTCAACCAGATTCTCCAGCCCAAGACCCTTATCGTCTCATTCCCTGGGTCGGTTCTGCCCGCGAACGAGACTTCTGGCTCTGGAAAGGTAGAGCTAGGACCCGTCAATATTACGCAGGTGGAGGAGGAACTCAGTGTTTTGGGGAATAAATTCAGCACTGCGTCAGTCCCTGAGGCCGACATTGACGAGGAATGAAGTCTTTGCTTCCGCCAGTATGTAGACGGTCACGCAGAAGGTGATGGGACGGAATGCGTGACCACTGCATGCCGAGCTTCCTGTATAATTGAATCCTGAATTTGATTTGTGTATCTGCTATGTTGCCTGAAGTTACATCTGCACGCGAGTACTCGGCCCAGCACCGTCAGATATTATTCTGCTTAGTGCAGGCCTAGGGCGCTAATAAGCACGACACGGAGGTTCGAGGATGGCTTTTTTCGTTCACATCCGGCGCACGATACAATTTGGCCAAGTAAAAGGGACTTGGTTAGATGGACTAGACTAAGTACAGTGTCACTTAGCACACTTTACAATGGATTTTGCACTTTACAACCCATTCCTGATGCAAATTTCCCACTTTTCGTTGGTTAACCCCGCCTGAGGGCGGCCTTTTCTTTTAAGGAAATTCCCACGGCATTGCCACCTGCAAATTTTTCGAAACTAAGTCGATGGGGCTTTCGAGACTCAAAAGCCTCATCAATATCAGTAAAGTGAGCAACTTCTCGCTTATAGTCACTTGGGGTGACAGCAATCAACGGGGTTTACATAGAGCTTACGACAAATAGATCTCGAGCGCTGATTGGTGGATCAGATAGCAAGGGAAAACGAATAAAATAAAATCACAATCAGTAGTTCTGTATTACTTGTTTTCGCACTCGACTTAGTTCACGTACTTAGTTCTTCACAGTATCTGAGCGCCATTAATGAACGGTATACATTGATTTTCACTTCGTCGACTACAAGCTACAAGTCATCATGTATCGTATAATAAAATTCCTTGCTCGAGAGGGAATTGAGGTAGAAGTCGTCATAGAGTTCCAGCGACGTCTCTGATGCGACATTCCGACTGACAGTTTCTCCGTATTTTGGTATGAGCTCGACTGTGTGGATAACATCCAATAACGGAACAATTGTACCAACCCGGGACTTACTACCATTAGCACTGATGTTGAACATACGATGGACAGTGTACATTCCGATCTCAGGTTGGTCAGACGGTGTTGCCACAAAGGCAAAACACTGGACATAGAGCAGTGGATTAGAAAGGTCGGGGGGGAGGGCATTGCCCCTTGTAGAAAGTGCAAACACCGCGCGTACTTGGACAACAAGTGTGGCTGGGAGATAACGACCATTAACACCAGGAAATGCAGTTTTTAATCCACTTACTTGGTGTGCTAAAGGGGGATGTAACACGAGCCAGTACAGTGTCACATTTTCCATAGGGATGTTCGTTCGAAGGTGGCAAGGCTTGAACCTGTTGGCTTGGTAAGATCGTAAGTGGCCGGAGCCGCGACTGCATCTGGATCCGGAACTTCGACCATCCTTGGAGCAGTCGACTACGGAACGTGGAGTTCCAACCAGCTATGTTATCGATGTAGGAAAGGAGTAGTGAAGGGAAGTCGGGAAGGCAGTATGTGGTGGATAAGTAAGATGCTGGCTTGTCGGCGAAGTCGGGCTTCCGAGTGACATGGAATGCAGTCGTGGCATCGTCCGAAACAAAACCTTGTAAGGAGTGATTGCGGGGGTTGCAGACCTAGTAAACGAGTAGATTTCTTCTTGAATGACTGGGGGTGCGTGAGGCATGCTGTCATGCTCTGCAGATAATATGTTGCTGAGTGATGTACCACTGCGGTGCAGAAGAGTGTAGAGGTCAAACGACGTATGGATTCCTCGCGGTCGAGGCGTAGCACGATCTGTTGTGTGAAGCCAGTCTTCCGGTTGGTACGCAGGAACGGATCCTTGCAATGAGTGATCAACAGGCGTTCGCTCACATCTGCTGTGTACTGGATGAGGGAGCCGATATTCCGTATGCTAGAGCCAAACAACTGAAATAATTCGAGTTTCGGTATCTGGAAATGGGGGATGCCACCAGTTTTTCCTCTCCGTGCGCCTGCATCTAGTATGGCCTGCTTGTACAGGTGAAACTCTTCTAAGCATGTTTCCATTTCTCGGATGGAGGAAGTCGTGAACGTTGGAGCCTGGGCACGGTAGATGAAATCGACTATTGCGCGAATAGCGTCAACGAAATCTGGACCCGCCACGCCTGCTATAGTTGCAACGATCGTGCGCTGAATGTCCCGATGCTCACGTCCGGTCATTTGTTTCACACGCGATACCCCAGTGAAATGGCGAGTGCCAATGTACTTGTGGTGACAGCGATAGCGAGCATCCAGTTCGTCATCTCCAAGTACCCATTTGCACCATTTGAGAACGTGGTCAAAGAACCACTTGTGACAGGAGTGAAGGATTTCGCCAACAAGGAAAATCGCAGGATTTGAAAACTGCCAGTCTCGCCAAAAAGGAAGTTGAACACCACTAAGGTGATGCTTCTTGGCCGCCACTTGGAACTCCCGGATCTTCCAAGGGTCTATATGCTCGCCTGTCGCTGAGCATATTTCATGCAGCGTCTTCAGGGTGAGCTGGCCATCGCGAGACGTATGTTTGATCGCATCACCAAACTGGCTCTGTATAGCGGTGGTGACGGGCGAAGCGGACCTGGCGATACGAGTAATGCGTTACATGACTTTGTACAGTAGTAGCGAGTGGTGGGATATACTTGGCAACACAGGCGATCATCAACTGCTCCGGCAGATCAGCAGTATATGCGGCAAGAGGCGTGAAACAATATCGAGTATTATTGTGAGAATCGGCCATAAAAACGCCGTTGTGCGCAGCAACCTTCAGGTTCGCGCAAACCATGTCGATGCATCGGTGCCATACACGAGCCTCTAGGATGGAATGGAATTCGGAGTGCGCGAGAAATTTGGGGATTGGGGTATACGCTATGCACGCCATGCGTGTGCTGTTGCTTTTATACGGACTTCTGAGTTGATGTTGGCAATCGTGAGGAATAACGGGTGCATCTCACGATCTCCGCTCATTCTTGTGACCGGTGCATTGTCCGATGCAAGGATGACAGGGACGATAGTGGCACCGTCTGGAAGCTCATTCTGTGGCATTTTTAGGAAGGTAGCATGCTCGCATGGACAAATCCTCACCTGAATTCGATGTGCCTCGTCACCCGACATCCACTCGCCGCATTCGCGTTCAGCGCCCTCGTAAATGTAGTATGGATCGTACATCATATTTTCGGCGAAGGCCGGATTCCCGAATATGTCCTGCACGACTTCCAAGGCGTCATGCCAGTAGAGATAAATAGGCTCTTTCGTAGCGTAGCCCTCGGCACAGAGTTCTGTGCATTGCCAAGTTGAACCTTTGGGGATCATGTCCAACCACGAAAGAAGCTGCTCGGCGGTTCGAAAGCTAGGCTGGATATTCTTAACCTGTACAAGTGATGTAAGATTTATTGAATTGAAACCAGGCTGTTTCTTACCAATTGGAGCTTCAAAAAGTCGTTGATCTGCGTTTGGGAGAGGTTGCGGTAGAGAAACTTCCCAAAATCCCATTCATCCTTGGAGGAAAAGTGGAAGTAAGGGTTGTCTTTTCATTTGGGCTCATACTCGTCTAGCCTCATACGCTCCAGAGTATTCAACTGACCCATATCGTAGATATAGCCAGACTTCGGGTGATATTGACCGACCCGCGGCGCATGAGATTTTGGTGGCACACGGAAGGCGGAAGGCGTGGGGAGTAAGTGCTGACCGCACCTGAGATCATCCTGCAGATGGAGGCAGACTGCCATAGTTGAGGAGAACACTTTCCCGCAAGCGGGATAATTTGTTAGACGCCTAGACAATTCATTAGCATTAGACTGAGACTCGAGGAAACAAAATGGGACACACTCATATTGCGCAGAGGAACGGGAGCTAGGCGAAGAGCAATAAGCAAGAACACTTGCCTTTTGTTAGAATGGTAGTAGATTTGAGTAAGTAAGTTTTGGGGCTCAGTTGTCTTGTTAGACAGTAGAAAGCAATGTGGAATTGCAATGATGTTAGGGGAAAAATCCCCAGGTTTATATACATGAGTAGATACGCATGGACCAGTAGTGTAAAAGGAAACTACTACTATGTATAGTATGGAACAGTGGAGAATGTCATGGAATATGACATATAATATGACATCATAGTGGAGCTGATTGCTAAGGCATGTCAGATGATCAACAATGTGTTATGACATGTGTGTGTCTAGATGTGTCTAGATGTCGGAACATATAGAATATTTCCAACACTCCCCCTCACTCTAAAATGGGAGTGTAACAAGTCCCATTGACGAGCGATTAAGCTCAAATTTTTGCCATGTCAAAGATTTAGTAAGACCATCTGCTTTTTGTTTATCCGTTTGAATGTATTCAATACCGAATAAACCATCTTGTACACATTCATGAATGAAGTGCCATTGGACATCAATATGTTTGGATCGACTGTCCGATACAGGATTCTCAGCAATAAAGTGAGCTCCCATATTGTCGCAGTATAATATGGTCTTTTCTGTTTTTAACTTTAATTCATCAAACAGCATTGATAGCCATATACTCGGCTTCTGTAGAAGAGAGTGTGATCATCTTTTATTTTCTTGAATGCCAGGAAATAAGGGAATTGCCAAGATACATGGCATAACTGGTGGTTGAATGACGAGTATCTTTATTTGAAGCCCAATCAGAATCCACAAAGCCATAAATCTGAGATTCAAGACCAGAATATTATAAGGCCAACTTTGGTGTAGATGCAATATAGCGAACTATATGCAGGGCCTTATTGCAATGATCCTCAGTGGGATTTGCCATATATTGTGACATGCGAATGACAGCAAATGCAATGTCTGGTCTAGTGCCAAGTGCCATATAGGGTAAAGACCCTATAATAGACTGGTACTGGCTTTGGAGTGATGATGTGGCTTGGTAATCTGATGGTGCTTTTTCTGGTTGATATCCCAAAGGTAATGGAGTGCAAACATTTCAAGCAGTCTCCATGTTGAACCTTTTAATGACCTTTTTGACATATGGTATTTGATCCAGGTATAATTCCTTTTTGGATCAATTTTGGTGAATTTGAATACCAAGGTATTCCTTGACTTCACCAAGGTCACAGGATTCCCATTTCTTCATGAATTCTTGTTTCTTGGCTTTAAGAAGACAAATGTCTGAACCAATAAATAGACCATCATCAACATAGACCAGAAAAATGATTATGCCAGCTTTGGATGAATGGATATAAATCCCAGCATCCACTTTAGAATGTATATAGCCCATTTTGAGTAGAGATTGATGAAGGGCTTTATTCCATGCAAGTGCTGCTTGCTTTAAGCCATATAAGGCTCGAAGCAGCTGATAGACCTTGTGTTCTTGACCCAAAACTTTGAAACCTTCTGGTTGCTCCATATAGATTTCTTCATCAAGATTTCCATAAAGAAAAGCTGTTTTGACATCCAGGGCTTCCATTTCCCAATTTCTTTGGGTAGCAAAAGATAGTAGGATTTGAATGGTTTCAAATCAAGCCACTGGATAGAAGGTATCTTCAAAGTTGGTGCCAAATTCTTGTGTAAAGCCTTTTGCCACAAGATGAGCTTTGTAACGACCATCGCTTTTAATTGTGAATACCCATCGACACTTAACAGGTATCCAATTCTTTGGAGGATCCACTAAAGTCCAAACTTGTCTTTCCTCGATAGACTTTAATTCGTCTTTCATGGCATCAAACCATTTCTTTTGAAGATCAGGAGATAATTTTAGCACATCTTTATAATGTTCCGGTGATTCTTTAACCCAAGCAGCTAATGCAAACTGGAAAGGATGCATTTCTGCTTCTTGATTGGGCATTCCTTTTGGAGAATCAGGAGTGTCTGGAATAGGAGTAAGTGGAGATCTAGGTGATGGAGGTGTAGTTCCTTGTGGATGTTCAGTCCACTGATGAGGAACTTCAGGAGGAATTAATGCAGGAGGGAACCTTGGAGATGGAGGTCTTCTTTCTTCTGCATATCTCCAAAAATCTTCTCTGGAATTATGAGCATGCTGTTCAGCATTTCGAATCCACTGTTGTGCTTGATCCTGATTTTGTTGTATATCTCATTCAATTTGAATAGGAGGTCTATCTCCATAAATGTTTTCAGGATGAGATACTGGTATAAAGCAATGCTTTGGACAAGGTTCTCTGTCATCAGCAGGTGGTTGAGCTCTGCAAACATTGTGCGAGTCACCTTGAATAAATTCTGGTTGATGAGGATGCTGTATATGACAAGGGTCAACTGGTGGTACAGCAGCAGGTGCTCTTCTTGGTTGTTGATGAGCTCTAGGCTGGTCCACAGCTCTCTGCTGTGGGTATGGATTTTGTGGTTGTTGTGGAGTAGGTGGATGACTTAGTGGTTGCTGGTGATGAGGCAGCGGTTGGATCTGATCAGGATCTGGAAGTGAATGAAGGCTTTCAGAATCAGATGAGGAGTCCTGGTCGTCTTTGGAACTAGGGTCAAAGGTCTTGGTCTTTTTGGTATCCAAGCAGAAAGGAAAAGAGTCTTCTACAGATTTTGCAGTGCGAGAAAGAATGATCTTTTGACCATGTAGAAAGTGGTATCCTTTTGTATTTGGTTTGTAACCAAGGAAAACCATTTCAACTGCATGAGGTTCCAGTTTATCTTTTTGTTGTTCTTTTGGAACCCATACAAAGGCTTTGCAGCCAAAGGTGCAGAAGTATGAGATGTCGGGTATTTTTCCTAAGAAAAGTTCGACTGGAGTTTTGAAAAGAATTCTCTTGAGAGGAGTTCTGTTGTATACATGGAGTGCACAATCAAAAGCAAAATTCCAGAATCTTTTTGGAACACAAGCTTGATGTCAAATAGTCCGATTGAAGCATTCTGCACAACCATTCTGTTGTGGTTGGTTGGCAATTGATAGATGATGGGTAATTCCGTGCGAAGAAAGGAGCACTTTGAAGGTAGAACCCATAAATTCTCCCCCTCGATCTGAATGGAGCACAAGTAAATGATGCCCAGTAGTATTTCGCATGGACACCATCCAGTTGGCAAAAGCAGTATAAGTGTCAGATTTATTTCAGAGGTAGAGACAGAAACCATAGGATGAGTAATCATCCAAGAGGGTTAGAATGTATTTGGACCAAAAATAAGACTTGACAGGTAGTTCAAGAAGGTCAGCATGGACCAACTCTAAAGGTTTTGTTGCTTGCTTTCAAGAAGGTTTAAAAGATCTGGAAGACAATTTGCCTTGTGCGCAACCTTTACAAGGAGTAAGTTCCCCCTGTATTTGTATGTTTGGTCCAAATCAGCAAATGTGCCAGAGAACAGCCTGAGCTGGGTGGCACATGCAATTATGCCAGAGAGACTCTTGAGAAATCCTTAGCAGAGGGCAAAGGACCCCATAGGCAGTGGTAGGTGGAAGCGGTACGCCCACAAACCAATGAAGAGGTGAAGTCGGTGAAGCTACTTTGGCTTCAAGGACAGTCTGGCCATCTGGTGCTTGGATTATCTCACTATTGAGTGTCGCTGTGCTCTTGTACCCATTTTTCAAGAGTGCATTTCTTGAGCATAATCTCTTTGAGAAGAGAGGACTATAAACAACATTATGAAGTGGTAGGTTACTGCCATTTTCCAGGTGAATAACCACTGTTCCTTCACCAAGTAATTGAACTCTACTTAACCCAGCAGTTGATGCAAGGGAAGGAGTTGTAAATTCTCGAAAAGTGAGGAAATCAGTTTTAAAGGGAGTCACATGATGTGAGGCTCCACTGTCCAACATCCATATAGACTCACCCTTTGGAAGGTTCTTATAACTGACATGTACACCCAAAAGGTAACAGTCATAAGAATCGAAAGGCATGTCCATCAAATGCAGAAGGGAGATATCCCGATGCAGATTTGTTTGGATCATACTCAATGTCTGGATTATGCTTTATATGAAAAGGTTTACATACAGATTTTTCTGGCACAGATTCATGAAATTGAGATAAGGACATAGGATGGTTTTTCTTTTTGAGATTCTTTACAAGTACGGATTTTCGGAGAGATCCTCCATTGTTACAATCATGTCCTTGAAATCGAGAGGCAGACTGATCATTATTCTGTACTGTCAGCAAAGCCGAACTGCCATTATCCTTAACATTCCTATCCTCCACCATGTTCTCACCAGCCAAAAGGGAATCTCCCACTTCGTATTGAGGGGTTGCTGGTACTACTCAGACATATCCTGTCCAGCTGAGTAGTGGAAAGGGGAATTGCCCTCTGATAAGAGTTTGCATTCTCCCATTCCCAGCATTCCTGTGGGGATGAGACCACTTGCTGGCAAGTGAGGTCTGCTCAGCAACAAATTGAACATGTGCAAGGAGAATTAGATTTGGGAATGTTAACATGAATCTTCACTGACTCAACTTGGTCAAGTTGGTATTCAAATATTTCATTGATATACCAGGGTGTGAGTTGGCCTGTGGATGGAGAGACAGGATTATGGGGAGTATTTCCCACAACTTCCATTGCCATAGCAAGGTCCTGTCGAGACAAGTCTGGATCATATGATTCAGTCTCAGTGATGACATGAGATCTGAGATAAGTGTCAAGATCATTAGAATAGACTCGTTCAACCAGAGTAGGATCCGGGAGAGAATATTCTGGAGAGTCTTCATGGATAGGAATATCAAGAGCAGTAATATTGAATTCCTCAGCAGCATTCTCAAATTGTTCCTGATCAGGGTATACATCCCATGATCTGGAATTAGGATCATAAGAACTCTCAGGGAGTTCTTCGATGTAAGCAGAGTTTAAAGTTTCTGCTCCTTCAACTTTGAGATTATTGGCTTGGGCTTTGCCCTTGCCTTGGTGACGGTTGTGGCCTTGACCTCGAGAGCCAGAACCTTGCTGCTGTTGTGGGTAAGGAGGTTGGTAACCTCCATGTCCATGACCGCATCCTCCTCAACCTCAGCCTTGGAAAGATCCAGAGCCAGATCCACCAACATGATCTTGCATATTATGACCACCTCTGCATATGTTACGGAGAGGAGGTTTATTCATACATGCCAGAAGCAAATTTGATTCTTGTTTTACTTGGGTCTGAGACAAAGACCCAGCCTTTTCAGTTTGTGGAAGCATAGATTTGCCCGATTTGTGGGCCCAGACTTCTTTCATGTGTGGTATAACAGTATTGGGAGAGAGTTGATCAGCAGGAATTGAAGAAAGAATATTGATGGGTGCTTGTTCCCAAGCTTGAGACATAGCATGAACCAGGATGAGAGCTTTCATTTTATTATTCAGGGTAATACCCTGAGCTGTAATGGCAGTAAGGAGCATAGTGATCTCCAATATTTTGGCCATTATGTCATCCTTTGGTTTTATTTGAATGTGAATGAGATGTTGGAACTCCATGAATGTAGTCATTGTGGATGGAGCACCATAACTGGCTTGTAAGGCAAGCCATTTCGCATTTGAGGTAGCAAGGCCATCAATAGACATAGCAATCATTGGATCGCAGTAGAGAGTTAGAATTCCTTGAGTGTGGGTATCAGAGGTCGTCCATGCATCAATTGCTGGTTGTCCAGCACCAGCTGCAGGTTGAGCAACTGTGCCATCAACGATTCCCATAATACCAAGTGTTTGCATGTAAGCCTTCATAAGAACCGACCAAGAGGCATAATTGACTCCATTTAATTTTGGAATCTGTTTCAAAAGACCTTTGGACATCTTTAAAAGTCCATGAGAAGGTGTTCATAGAGGAATGAGTGAGTCGGATGAATTTTAATGGATGGAGGATTCAATGTGTGGAATCCGATTTGTTTTGGTCTGCAAGCAGATGCTCTAGCAGATTGAGATGGACGGCGATAGTGAGGTTTGGGAATATGAGGACAAGGATTTCGCCAAATCTTTTTGATGCCTGTACCTTTCTCAGCGAATCTCTTAGCAGAGATGTGAGAATTATTGCACTCTAGACTTAAAAAGTCTAGCGGAGGGAAATAATGGTAGCTCAAAATGCTCCAGTTGCAGTCATGCAACGGTATCCCATCTGAACGAAATCCAAGATATGGATCAGCACAAGAATATGGTACATTAACAGTGAAAGAATGATGAAAATGAATATCTTTTACAAATACTTCAAGTGTATTGTAAGATTTGTCAATGATACAACTGTTAGTTCCCAAATGGTATCACCCTCCTGATACATATGGTACATCCATCAAGCTTGGAAGAGGATAATTTTTGGTGTATGGCTCGAGCTGCACGAGCTCAGCTAAGAGCTGTAGTCTGAATTCCACGAGGTCAGGGTTCTGCAAGATAATCGAATGTATCTTTCTCCATGGCACATTCGAGATCATAATTAATCTCTGTTGTGCTGGGCCAGTAAGTGAAGTCAGAGTGAGCAGAGTTGGAAGACCAGAAAAGATGCCTGTTAGCAGGCGTATATCGCAGCTCACTTCCCATATCAGCAGACTCCTTGAATCATTGTATAAACCCATATAGGTTGCTATCAAACCAGTCTCGTCCTTGTCAGTGTTCCTGGAACCACCTTGGGACACACTGGATGTCAGTGCTTCTGTCAGCCCAAACTCCTCTGAAATTCCACTCCAAATGTTGGTTCCAAACTTGTAAAGGAGGGATGAGGCTGTTGAAACATGGGTCATAGAGTGGATGGGTGTTGAAGTAAATGTAGATGAAAGTGTCGTGCATGATGGAGAAGGCCAGAACAGTGAGGAGGGAAGGATCTTCATAAGTAACACTAGGAAGATCACAACTGTTGAAGTTAGCAATAGTGTGAGGAGTTGAAGTATGGGTTAATTTGGGAAAGAAGTCACTTAGATAGCTGTGGAAGGCTAAATGGAGGCCAGGATAAAAGTACGGAGAGTCAAAACTGGGAAAGTGGGGCATGTTCTGCCACACTGTTTCCACAGTATTGAGCAGAACAAGGTACATGGTGGGATTTGGCTTTTTGAAGTATGCCATAGACAAGGGAACCACCTCTCTCCAAGATGAACAGTCACGTATGTACAACATCTCAACAAATTCTATAATCTCCTTAACTGCATATTTCCTCCACTTTACTTCATGCATTCCATCGTGGTGCTCAGCAGCGAGCAATTCAGTTTTCTTTGCAATGATGAGAGACATACTTTGAAAAGACCATAGATTAGTTCCCATAATGACAGTGAAGTGCCACAAACAAAGTTAAATTAAGTTGAACTCAGCATTGTTGTCAGGAATGACAGTGAGAATGAGTTCTGGATTAAGTAATTCATTCAAGGCAATGACATCCTCAGGAAGAGGAGTCAGAGCATGATGCAGGGGTGGTGCATCAGCAGCCTCAAAAGCATCATAAGGGGGTACAGGATTGAGGTCAGCATCAAAGTCAATGTCAGGAAGATGGAAATGCAAATAATGTGGAGGTGGAGTCAGAGGTCGATGAACAAGTCTCTGAAGAAGAGCTCTGCAAACAACTAAGTCTTGTAACAATAGTTGTCGCTGTCGCCACCAAGTGGAGAGACCTAGAAATGAGAGCCAAAATGCGGTAGAGCATATAAAAAGCTCCCGCAAGTGAATCGGATCGAGACCACCATAATGAAGTAAAAGAACTGCCTGGTTTAACCCAGCAGCTAGCGACACAGCAAAGATAACTACTACCATCCCTAGTGCATCTAGGCCTACGATATCCATAGTGATATGCCCGTCAGCAGTGATCACTCTATGCAGATATGTAAATAGCACACATGCCTAGAAGGTGGGGCTCATAACCTATTGCACAGAGGAACAGGAGCTAGGCAAAGAGCAATAAGCAAGAACACTTGCCTTTTGTTAGAACGGTAGTAGATTTGAGTAAGTAAGTTTTGGGGCTCAGTTGTCTTGTTAGACAGTAGAAAGCAATGTGGAATTGCAATGATGTTAGGGGAAAAATCCCCAGGTTTATATACATGAGTAGATATGCACGGACCAGTAGCATAAAAGGAAACTACTACTATGTATAGTATGGAACAGCAGAGAATGTCATGGAATATGATGTATAATATGACATCATAGTGGAGCTGATTGCTAAGGCATGTCAGATGATCAACAACATGTTATGACACATGTGTGTCTAGATGTGTCTAGATGTCGGAACATATAGAATATTTCCAACAACTCATTGTTCGACAGGGACACATAACTACCATCCCCACTTTCTCCTGGGCCAGTAGACTCAAGTTCTGTGCTCATTGTGGTTAGATGATTATCAGTTCTGTCGAGCGAAATTTCCAAGTCTTTCAAACTCCGCCACTCTTCACAGGACAATCACTGAGCAGAGGACAGTTATGGAGAGATATGAAGGTAAGTCTACCCAGTCGTTATGGTCCAACAGTCTATCATGACAGCCACACTATCAGATACGCCACCTGCAAGGGGTAGCACAAAAAATAAACTAAGAGCCCCCAGTTCTTCGTTCACGGGCAGGTCTGCTCGTCAGCAGTCGTCTCCATATCGCAAGCGCTACCAACATTCATTGCCCCAGGTCCCCTTTATGAGGAGGGCGTTTTCAGGTGTCGTGCACTCCCCTCAAAGCGCAGACGGTGGAGCTGGAAAGGTATTCCTGGTTGTAATCCTCATGAGATTTGACTTAAGCTCTACCAGGTCGAAGAGGCTAGGAGAAAGACAGCCAGAACAGAACTAGAACAGTTTCAATTTCCAAGCGATGTTCTGTGGGAGGCCGTAATGGCTCAATATGCCGACTGCGAAGCAACCCGTTACCGTATAATCACTGCAACATGGGAGATCGAACGACTTGAGAGGTGGAAGTGCTTCTTCGACCGTTCTCTGAACTATCTCCAAGAGAAGAATACTACTTCAGTGTCTAGATTTGAATTTTTCAAGAAGTGCTGTCTAGATCTTGGTGGGGTTGAGGGTCGCCCAGAGGAGAGGGATATCTTGATAGAAGCATTGCAGAGAGACGCTGCAGCACTGGGCGCCATGCAGAAGGATCTCAAGGACACTGAGGAAGTTGCTATTTCTCTGGGTGTCCTCGACGAGTCGGAGGAGTCTCAGAGCTTCTACTTTGGGGTTACAGATTCCGGTGATACAGAGGATTCTAACCCAAGTGACACTGAGATTCCGTTATATCCAAGCGACCCTGCCACGAGTGACCCAGAGGCCCCCCCCACAAGCGATCCACCAGCCCCGCCCACAAGTGACCCAGAGGTTCCGTACACGAGCGATCCCGAGAGGATTCTTTTTCCGACGGAAGACTCTGAATGGTATGTGGTCTTAACCTTGAGCCCTTACGAGCTAATGACGGTAATTACTTCACAGATAAGCCTTATGACTCGTAATGTGTAGTGACTGTATCACCGCATTGTACACCACATCGAACGCTATGTAATATCTTTGCATGCTGTCTATGCGTCTTTATCACTCTGGCGATGTTCTAAATGAGGAAAGAAGTCTGCCAAATCGCGCATTCTCGCTGACCTGCCTAATTTGCATTCATTAATATTGTCCCTGTATTTGCTGAGAGAAATATACGTTTGAACTAACTAGGTTGCATTGTATAACGATGGGGGGAATCGGGGACGAAAGGTGCGCCGGCCATACTCCTTACCAATCCAGCATGACATCTGACAATACTGACAGGAGATGAAGAAGCCCACAAAGGGCAGCGGTCTTAACCCGTGCTTACAGCCTGATGGGTCTCAGCTCGGCATTCCCAATGAATTCACTGAAGACCCCAGCGGAGCCTCTCAGCCCATTATGCTGGCAATGAAGAGCCGCTTGATGAGACATATGCAACCTCATCGTCGACAGCTGCTCGCATGGCATACAACTATACGCTTCCCTCATCGTTGGTGGCCGACGGCACATCATACGACTATCCACTTCCTTCATCATCGATGGCTCACCCGACGTCATACTCAACAGCCTTCGCCCATATGACAGCGCCATGGGCAGTTGAGACGCCAGCCCCGCCAAGCACAACTTTGATGCGCGATCGCCTCTCAGAAACCCCGATGTCACATCACCCGGCTGGTGACGCCCTCCCATTCTGTGGGGCACCGGACTTGGCTACGACAATACGGCCGATGTGTCTTCCGACGCCATCGATTTTGCAATACCCCCAGGAGTTGTCGTTCGAGGGCTCCCAGCGAATTTCCCAAATTGCACGACCCAGCCCTTACCCTATTGTTTCAAGTGGCATCCGGCGTGTCTTTGCATATGGCCCACGACGTCCCTCTGAAACAGAGCGCGGTTCATTTGTCATCATCGGCGTCATCAAAGTAAGTCATTTATGAGTTAAGTATGATGGTATTGTAGCTAATCTCAAGCCAGGCAGGAGCCAATCACACGATCACGTCCCGGCGCCAAACTCGTCGCACGCTTCTGCCAACTTCTACACTACTACCGCCACCAACTCCCGAAGCTCCAACGAACGAAACCGACGAAACCCCAATTCAGAATATAACGCAACTCCCACCAGATCAACTAAGCAAGGTAATTCAGGAAGCAAAAAATGGCATGCGCCGCCGACTCGTTTGTACAAACATTTTCCCCACCCAAGTCGAAGCAAACTCGTTCGCAGAGGATGCAATCACTGACGCGCTTAGAACTCTAATAACAGGTACGCGTTATTCACATTCATTCCGCAACGCTTCGTGACTGCCATGCCAGATCCCCACTGCTGGGTCCTTGACAGAGCCAAAGATGGCAAAGCGATCTCTCAGGTTCTCCAAATACCTAATAGCATCCGAACACTCTTCAAGAACGTTGCGTGTGCGCAGGTCCTAATCGGCTATGGTATCCATGTGTGCGACGATGACCTCTTGCTCGACCAAACGCAAATCCGAGAATCTGTCTGTGGTCGCATCCAACACCTACTTCGAGATTATAACTTCTTATACACGGAGGAATGTACTTTGTTTGCTGAACTACACTCCCTGCTAACAACCAACATAGGATCCTCCCCGACGATTTGGGCATCATGCCCTCACCCATCTATTGATATCCGCCACCTGGACAATGCCGGGAGCACTCTTCAAGTCGTTGGACGTCGACGATGCGGCTACTATCGATGGTCTCGTTGCACTAGCCGGTGCTGCCCTGAGCAGCGCATTGCACGAGGACCGTGAGGGGGCAGTTTGTGTCGTCGAATTCTCAAATCTCCTTGCCGGTGAACGTTACAGGGAAATTATTCAAATCATTCGTGGTATGTCGACTGATGAAGAACTCTGCACTCAGTACAAAAAATATTGTTGAAATGTAGTACTGCTAGGCCGTAGTTATCAAGGTAGTGTTGGAAATATTACTATATGTTCCGACGTCTAGATTGATCCAGACTTACACGTGTATCAACACATTGTTCATCACATGACATTCCTTAGTAAACAGCTCCACAATGATGTCATTCTGACATCATACTATATGTCATATTCCATGACCTTCTGCACTATTCCTTACTATACTGAGTAGTAGTTTCCTTTTACGCTACTGGTCCGTGCGTACCTACTCATGTATATAAACTCAGGGATTTCTTCCTCAATCCCCATCGAATCAAGTATTCGTTCTTCACTTGTCTACTTGACAACTGAGCCCCTCAACGCTTTACAAGCTTACTTCAAATCTACTACCGTTCTGATATAAAGGCAAGTGTTCGTGCCTAGCTCTTCATTACTTCCTGTTCCTCTGCGCAATAGGTTATGAGCCCCGCCTATAACTAGGTGGCAAGCTATTTGCAGTATTTGCATAGAGCGATCACTGCCAACGGGCATATCACTATGGATATCGTAGGCCTAGATGCGCTAGGGACAGTAGTAGTAGTTTTCGCTGTCACTGTTGTAGCCGGCCTTAACCAAGCTGTGCTTTTACTTCATTATGGTGGACATGACCCGGTTTTTCTACGGGAGCTTGCTGCTCGCTCCGTAGCCTTTTGGTTTACATTCTTAGGTCTCTCCGCTTGGTGGCGAAGGCAACAATTCATGCTTCAAGAGCAGATTGTTCGCAGAGCGCTGCTTCAGTGTCTCATTCTTCGACCACCGACTCCGCCTCCTCATTACCTTCATTTCCATCTTCCCAATATCGACCACGACGCAGATCTTGACCCTGTTCTGCCATACGACGAGCTTGAAGTGCGTGATCCGCCTTCTCCTCGACGTGCACTGACTCCTCTTCCTGAGGAAGTTGCGGCTGTCAACGAGTTAATTAATCCTGCAGTCGTTCTCGCTGTCGAAGACATCGCTGAGTTCGATTTGCTTTAATCTCGTTTGCTTTGTCGCAGAACAAGGGCTAATTATTTAAAAGATGTCTCTCGTCGTTGCTAAAAAACTCGAACTCGCTATCGCTGAACAATGGGATGGAATGTACAATGTAAAGTGGCGGAAGTATGCAGTCAAGGAGATTATAGAATATACAGAGATGTTATATGTATGGGAGTGTTCTAACTGGCGAGAGGCGGTGCCTTCCTCGGTCGCTTTCTTCAAAAAGCCAAATCCTGCAACGTACCTTGTTCCTATCGATACCGTGGAAACAGCGTGGCAGGAGATGCCCCACTTTCCTGGTTTCGAATCGCCGTACTTTTATCCAGGGCTCCACTTAGCCTTCCATGGCTATCTTACCGATTTCTTCCCTAAACTTTCCCATACATCGACTCCTCACGCTATAGCTAATTTCAACGGTTGCGATCTTCCTTCAGCTTACTATGAAGATCCTGCCCTTGAGTCTGTTCCTGCGTTCACTGTCACCCACGACACCTTTGTCTACGTCTATTATAACATCCACCCCCTCTACGATCCGTGCTTCAACAGCTTCATCCCTTCTCTCCACATTTGGAACCAGCATCTTGAGTTCCATTTCCGAGGAACTTGGGTTGATGGATCAACAGATGTCCGATGTATCCCAAGGTGGTTCCATGAACGAAGACGCGGAGGAGACCGCTTTGATAGCGACCTCTTTAGGTTTATACGACGGTTTAGGGATACGGCAGATGTGGGAAGTTCCCTGCGATATAACTCTTCTAACTGGCATCTTTCATGGGGTCTCGCCCCCTCTGACACAGACTTCGCTTACTGGCCCGGATCAGAAGAGGTTTTACGCAATTTCGAACGTTGCATGGCCAACACTACTTTTGATTATCTCTCGGCTCCCTGACCTTGAGGAATTTGCACCACAGCTCTTAGCAGAGCTCGTGAGGCTCGCACCATACGCCATAAATTATCCTCTTCCAAACTCGCTGGACGCACCGTACATATCAGGCAGCCGAAACCATTGGGCAACTAATACTTGCAATCTTTACGAGTCATACAATTGTATCGAAGTATTAGTTAAGGACCGTCATCCTCGCTATTCCGACTGCTTAAATGTACCATATTCTTGCGCTGATCCCTGTCTTGGGTTTCGATCAGAGGGAATTCCATTGCATGATTGCAATTGGAGTTTTATGGCATACCATTATTTCCCTCCACTAGACTTTCTAAGTCTAGAGCGCAATAATTCTCACATCTCTTCTTGGAGATTCGCTGAGAAAGGTACAAAGGCACCAGAAACCAAAATGCAAAAGCGAAGGAATCCTTGTCCTTATTTTAAAGCCCATGGCACTCACAAGCATTGTCCATCTCAAGCTGCTAGAGCATCTGCTCGCAGACCCAAAAGGAATCGAGTTCATGAACTGAATCCTCCATCCTTTTTAATCCATCCAACTCACTCGTTCTTGTATGAACACCTGCTTATGGACTTTTGACACTAGATGTCCGAAGGTCTTTCTAAGCAAATCCCCAAGCTTAATGGCTTGAACTATGCCTCTTGGTCGGTTCTTATGAAGGCTTATATGCAAACTCTTGGAATCATGGGAATAGTTGATGGCACAATAGCTCAACCAGCAGCTGGTGCTGGACAGGCTGCCATTGATGCTTGGCATGTCTCTGATAACCGAGCACAAGGCATTCTCATGCTTTATTGCGATCCGATGATCGCAATGTCAATTGATGGACAAGCGTCTGCTCATTTGAAATGGCAGGCACTTAACCAATCATATGGAACTCCTTCGGCGATGACGACCTTTATGGAATTCCAACGCCTTATCCGTATTCAAATTAAACCAAAGGATGATATAATGGCCAAAATTGCTGAGATCAATATGCTTCTCGCTGCCATTACTGCTCAGGGCATCACCCTGAATAATAAAATGAAAGCACTCATCCTTGTCCATTCAATGACTCAAGCCTGGGAACAGGCACCTGTTAATATTCTTTCCTCTATTGCTGCCAATCAACTTTCTCCTGATACAGTCATACCTCGCATGAAAGAAGTCTGGGCCCATTGTTCGGGCAAAACTATGCTTCCTCAACAGGATAAAGCTGGGTCTTCTTCGACCCAGGTTAAACAAGAAACAAATTCACTTCTGGCATGCATGAATAAACCCCCTCTTTGCCAAATTTGCAGAGGTGGTCATAATACTTCCGATCATCAATCTGGATCAGGATCAGGATCCTTTCGCGGTTACTGTGGAGGTCGTGGAAGAGGTCGCGGAACTCATGGACGTGGACGTGGAGGTTACACTCCCTATAATCCACAACAGCAGCAAGGTTCTGGTTCTTGTGGCCAAGGCCAAAACCGTTGCCAAGGCAAGGGTAAAGCCCGTGCCAATAATTTAGAAGTCGAAGGTGCTGAACCTATCAATGCGGCTTATATAGAGGAACTTCCCGAAGATTCCTACTATGGTCAAAATTCCTATGAACCAGAGTATACTGCTCAGGGTCAGGAATTTTATGAAAATGCTGCTGCTGCTTTTGATGCTAGTGAAATTGATATCACAGCATTAAATGTCCCACCTCGTAACAACTCTCCCGAGTATTCTCTCCCAGATACTACTCCGGTTGAACGAGTTTATTCTTCTGACCTTAATACCTATCTCGGACAACATGTCATAACTGACACTGAGATGTATGATCCTGATTTATCCCGCCAAGATATTACTATGGCAATGGAAGCAATTGGGGAATCCCTCAATTATCCAGTTGATGTCACAACCGGAAATCTCGCTCCTTGGTATCTGGAGGAAATTCAGAATTTCCAACCGGATCAAGTTGAGTCAGTACTGATTCGTGTCAACATTCCAAGTTCTAATACCTGCCAATGCTCTATTTGTCGCCGAATAGCCAAACCTTGCGACCGACTGGGTCTATCCCTTTCGGAATCACAACAATGGAGCAACTCGGACTCTCATCCGAGGAAGATTTCCCTTCCCCCTGCTAAGCAGGACGGGTCATGTACGAGTGGTTCCCTCAAACCCTCAGTACGAGTGGGAAATTCCATTTTGGTTGGCGAGAGTGTGGTGGCGAACTGGAATGCAAAGGATCATGGCTATGCGTCTGAGACACAACAACGGACTGTTAATCTCTCTTCCCCTCGATTTCGAGGACAGAATAGTAGAGACAGAGGATCTCTCCAAAAATCTGTATTAAAAGCCGCTAAAAAGTGTGCTAAGCCTATGTCCTTATCTCAATTTCACGAATCTGTGCCAGAATTACCTGTTGTGGAAAGTCTCCGTATAAAGCATAATCCAGACATCGAGTATGATCCCAACGAATCTGCTTCTGGGTACTTACCCTCGCAGTTTGATGCTCATGCCTTCGATTCTTATGACTGTTACCCTTTGGGTGTGTCATATGCTAATCTTAAAAAGAACCTTCCCAAGGGTGAGTCATTATGGATGTTGGATTCGGGAGCATCACATCATGTGACTCCATTTAAAACTGATTTCTTGACTTATCGAGAATTCAACAATCCACCTTTGGCCTCTACTGCTGGCCTTAAAAAGGTTCAACTTCTCGGTCAAGGAACAGTGGTTATTCGCCTAGAAAATGGCAGTAACCTTCCACTACATAATGTTGTTTACAGTCCTTTGTTCTCAAAGTGACTATGTTCACAAAATGCGCTCCTTAATAACGGGTATAGGAGCACAGCGACTCTTACTAGCGAAACTATCAGAGCACCGGATGGCCGGATTGTCCTTGAAGCCAAAGTCGCTTCACCGACTTCACCTCTTCATTGGTTTGTGGGCATACCGCTTCCACCTACCACTGCCTATGGGGTCCTTTGCCCTCTGGTCAAGGAATCTCAAGAGTCTCTTTGGCATAATTGCATGTGTCACCCTGCAAATGCAGTTCTCAGACATATTCGCCGCTTAGGTTTAAAACAAGAAATACAAATACAGGGGGAGTCTACCTCTTGTAAAGGTTGCACTCAAGGCAAACTTTCTTCCGAAGCCTTTAAACCTTCCTGGAAATGAGCAACTAAACCTCTCGAGTTGGTCCATGTGGACTTACTTGAAT